GGTGGAGGCTTAAGCCCCAGAGAAGACCCCGGGGATGGGGCAGGGCTAAGACTGTTGGGAAAAGACAAGCGGTGAGACTCAGTCTGGATCTGTGGGTTGTGCACCGGGCCTGACCAGAGGGCGGTGCTCAGTCACAGAGGGAGAATCGTGCAGGAGACTGGGACAACCCAAGAGGGGTGAGGCGTCGATGAGGCCAAGAACCAAGGGAAGAGCCTTCCAGGCAGAGGGAAGAGCAGGTGCGAAGCCCTTCTGGGCTGTGTGTGCCTGGTGGGGGTGGGGGGCAGGAAGAAACTCAAGAAGGCGCAAAGAGGAGTGATAAGGACCAGGCAGAAGAAAGTTTCCGTGTTTGTTTTGTTTTTGTTTGGGGACCACACCCAGAGATGCTCAGGGCTTACTCCTGTCTCTGCACTCAGGGATCACACTCCTGGCAGTGCTCAGGGGACCATATGGGATGCCGGGGATCAAACCTAGGTTTGCTACCTGCAAGGGAGACGCCCTGCCCACTGTCCTATCTCTCCAGCTCCCTTTTATCATTTCTAATACCTAAACCCCATGGTCTCATGACTTGCCAGTTTCTGTTCTAAGCATCTTACAAATGACAGTTCTTTGACCGTCTAGACAAGCTTCTCTTATTTTCCTCAAGTTATAGATGAGGAGACAGGGGCACAGAGAGGCTCAGACAGTTGCCTAAGTTTCACACAGTTGTTTGCTCACACACACTCCGCACGTTGGCGTCCTAGGTCCTTGTTGGCTGGGGTGAGGCTGGCCCAAGCATAGGGAGGTTTCCTGCCTTCATCAGGGTCACAAGCTTTGACCAAGTTCGCAGTGGGACATCCCAGAGCTGGCAAAGGGGTGCAGGTCTGTGTGAATCCCCAGCAAGGGCCAGTGACGCCCTGTGGCCTTCTCCCATTTGACCTCCCAGTCTTAGCAGGGGTTCAGGGGTGAAGCGCTCTCCTGAGCAGGAGGAAGCCAGAGCTTTGGAGCTTCATCCCCAACCCCCGGGGAAAGGGCAGAGAACACGGGGCTGCAGCTGGGACTTTTCATGCCCAGGCTGGTGCTTTTCTAGCAGCTCTGTCCCTTCGTGGCATTGCCCAGGCCTAGTCTCCCAGCCCTCCCCTCCCCACCCCACCCCCGTCATGCCTGCCCCACACCCAGATGCTTCTGGCATAGAATAGCCAGCGGGAGTGCTCATGGGGGTGCCTTCCTCACCTCCAGGACATGACCGAGTCCCTGTAAAAGGAACAAGGAAAAGACGCAGGCTGGGAGGGAGAAGCCCGTCCTGTCTGCAGGTTCCTCTCCCCAGAGAGGCTGGGGAGGCAGGGCTGAGCCCCTTGGGGTTCGCTGCCTGCCTTGAAGGATTCTGGGGTGTGGCCTTGCCTCTCTAGCCTTGCACCCAGCTGGACTGAGGCCAGTTCCCTGTCCGGGTGCTGACATCATGGAGAGCAGGGGTTCCCTTCAGCAACCCAAGTTACAAACTGGGGAGTTGAAAAAGAGAAAGAGAGAGAGAGAAAAGAGTCTCCTGCTGTAGAGGCCAGTTGGGGGTGGGGGTGGCTTGAGGGATTGGGAGGGAAACTGGGGACACTGGTGCTGAAAAATTAGACTGGTGAAGGGATGGGTGTTGGAACATTGTATGACTGAAAGGCAATCACGAAAAACTTTGTACTGCTCTATCTCATGGTGATTCAATAAAAAAAAGGGGGGGGGGGGACCTGAGTTCCAGTCTCCAATCTCGGGGCTGGAGCAATAATACAGGGTGTCAGGCATTTCCCTTGCATGCCACCAATCCAGGTTCGAGCCCCGGCATCCCATGTACTCCCCCAAGCACCGCCAGGAGTAATTCCTGAATGCAGAGCCAGGAGTAAGCCCCGCACATCATCATTTGTGGCCCAAAGACCAGCCTCCATTCTGCCAGTGATCTGTGTGACACTGAACGAGATTTCCCTCCCTTCATGATGTCACCCCACCAGCACCCCATTTCTGCTTCCTGACCTCACAATTCCCTCGTGGGCCTGGGGAGTACCCCATGCAGTCAGAGCTGGAATGAGGTTTGGAAAACAATCTGTACATCAGGGACTCCTCTCTTCATCACCTGTCTTCCTTTCCCCACCGTAATAACAGTGGCCGCCTTTAGAGAGTGCTGTCGTGTGTTTTCAACAAGGAAGCTGAAGTCCAAAGCGGACTAGTGACTCACTGAGGTCACCGGGTATTGGCGGCTCCCAGAGCCCATCCTTGGTGCTCCCGGCTTCCTTTCAGCGGTTCTCACCCCTCACCACATCCCTTCCATTTCCTGCTGGCCCCAGCGTAAGCCTCATTCTCTCAACAAAGATCCACTTGGGGAAACTGAGGCAAGCAGAGGTATTCAGGTCTATCCACCAGGAATATATATGAACAGAGCTTTGTGCTGCCCTCCCGGCCCATCAACATTTGCCAGGCATCAGCTCAGAGCACCATCCCGGAACCATGTCCTTCCACTCCCCAGCACCTGGGTGGAATGACAGGTTGGCCTCACACCATCACACTGGTTTCCACGTGCTGGTTCCTCTGGGAAAGTTCCACATCACCAGTGAGGAGCAGGTCTGAGAAGTACTTGGGGCAGCAGAAATCAGAATTTTTCACTAATCTATTCGGAACTTGGTCCCACTCTCTGTAGAAATGGTTCGGTGCATAGCTCAGGCAAAAGATTACCATTGTTGGAGCCTTATGCACAGGACCAGGAAAAATAAAGGGAGAAGTGTGAGATCATTAAAGTGTACTGCAAAAGGCTGGAGCCATAGCACAGCAGGTGGGCATTTGCCTCACAAGTGGCTGACCCAGGTTTGATCCCCAGCATCCCATATGCTCCCCTGAGCACCGCCAGGAGTAAATCCTGAGTAAGAGCTAGGAGTAACCCTTGAGCATCGCCGAGTGTGACACCAAACTAAATAAATTAAAATAAAATGCACTGCAGAGAAATAATGCAGCGGAGGGTTTAGGTCACTCCAGGGGCCTGGTTGTAATTGTCCCATGGGATGGTCAGTAAAAACTCAGTCTGAGAAGATGGTATGTACATAGTGATGTTTACTGGGGAGGAGCGGAGATGACTGGGGGGGGGGAAACACCTGGGGAGTTCAGGGCTAACTCGTGGCTCTGTGCTCAGGGATCACTCCTGGTGTTGCTCAGGGAGACCATATGCGGTGTCAGGGATCAAACTCAGGTCAGCTGAGTGCCTAGCAAGTCCCCAGGCCCCTCCCTATCTCTTCATACTTTGCACCGGGATCTTAAGGAGAGAGTGAGTTAGGCAGAAGAAACAGCATGTCCAAAGGCCCTGAGGCTTGCTTGCCCGGCAGGTTCTAGCAGTGACAAGGAGGCCAGACTATCAGCGGGGACGGTGAGCCAGAGAAGCATTGCGAATGTTGGCTGAGGTCAGGCCTGTGATGGGAAGGTACATGCCACCCAGCGGAGGACACCCAGGACGAGGGACACAGCATGGAGAGCAGAGGGACAGGAGATGGCAGGGAGGCATCGGGGGGATGGGGACAGCCGGCACAGAGGCTCAGGGTGCTGGAGCAGGAAAGAGGAGAGCCAGGGTGGAAAGCAGAGACCCTGGGAGGGACAGGTCTCAGAGTTTGGGCTGGAGCTGTGATCAGTGCAGGTGGTAGGACTCTGTGGTTGGGAGGCACAAGAGTCAGGGCTGGCGGTGATGGTCAGGAGTGGCTGTGGTCAGGGGGTAAGTGTGGTGGCCAGGCCTCCAGGATGACAGCCAGGACGAGGCAGGGAAGACCACTTCAGCCCTGTCCACCTTCACGTTTCATCTTGGGTGTGAGACGCCGAGCTGAGCTCTGTGAGGCCCCCATCCCGGCCAGCTAGGGCCCCACTCCTTCTCCCCTGGGACCCTGAGGGACATCCCTGCCTGTCCCAGACGACCCTGGTGGGTAGTGCCCACGCAAGCTGAGGAAGCAGGGTGTCAGGAGGGGAAGCCCCCCCTCAGTTTCTATCTCATTGCAGGGACCCAGCAGGGAAACCCCGAAGGTCCCATAAGGAAAGTGGCATCAGTGGACCTCGGGGAAGACCGAGAAAGCCCCGTCATCTCCCTGAAGATGGGAAATCCAGGGCGGGGCCGTGCTGGAAGGGAGCCCCACGGGGAGGCCGAAGGCTGATATCAGCAGCTTGTTCTGGGGACCTCTAGGTCCTGGTCAAAGACGGGGCCCTGGGCCTGGCCACCGCCCTGCCCACTCTGAGCCCCGAGCTGAGTCTCCGACTCAGGTCAGCCCTGGACCACACATCAAGCTGAACCAGGCGCCACACAGGACCCCAGTAGGGCTCGGATGGAAGCGCTCGCATGGCCAGCCTCAGTGCCAGGCATGGGTGCTGCCCCACGTGCCACCGTGATAGGCAATATCCCGGCCTGGCCCTGCTCCTGGACTGACTCTTACCTGAGACGGGCTCGGGCTGCGGGGAGCTGCACCCACCCTGCCTCTGCCCAGCGTGACCCCGAGACGCCTGAACTCACTCACCCACGGAGCCTCACACTGCCCGCGGCCTGGCCATCCGGTGAGCAAGATGAGTGCCGGTGACTCAAAGCCCTGGTCGGTCCTGGTGGCTATCCCCTTACCTGGCCATCATTGTCAGCAGGATGGCAGACTCTGTTGGCCGCAGGGGGTCCTGGAGAGGGCACGGAGCAGGAGGGGCTTCGAGTCTCCCTTCTGGGAGAACAGGAGGAACTCCCCCCAAGATTTGTGGAGAAAGGGGAGGGCTGGAGCTGGAAGTGAGGGAGGGGGGTGTGGGGGGTAGAAACTTGGATTCACCGAAACCCCAGCTTCCCGCCACCCCCACCGCACCTCCCACCCCCTCTGGGAAGGGAAATGTAATTTCCCCATTTTAGCAAGGGGTAGTGAGGAGAGAAAACTGAGTGAATTGCGAAGCTGAAAGTACAAGCAGGACGGAAAGTGAAACCCGGTGCAGCCCCCAATATAAGACTCCCCCTGCCCGGGAGATGGCTGACCCAGGAGCCCGGCCCCGCCATGGGCCAGAAGGCAGGAGACCTTGGCTGGCGTGAGTCTGAGGGCTGGGGGCCGAGGGGTGGGGTTTGAACAGAGGGGCGGGGAGGGGGGAGCGGGGAGCTTGACAAGAGTGCCCAGGGGCAGAGGGGCCAGGCAGTGGGGCCAGCAGAGGAGGGAAGAAGCCATGCCGGGAGGTGGGGTGGGCTGCGGGGCAGTTTGATGAGGACATGGGGCAGGCAGAGCCATGAGGAGCTTGGGGAGACCGGGCAGGCGGACACGGCTCGGCTGAGAAGGTGGGCTGCTCTCCAAGAAGGAGGGGGGTTGGGAGGGAATGTGGCACCTGGAGGGAGGACCCCCCTGCAGTGGGGATGGAATGACACTGGTGGGGACCAGCAGAGCAGACAGTGGGGCCGAGAGGATGAGGACCAGGGCCCGGGAGCTTGTTGCAGAAGAGCCAAGGCAGGGCCCTGGGGCTCCATGGCCCCAGCAGGAAGTGGAGGATGGTTAGAAGTCGCCCAGTTTGGGTGGACAGTATTGACCAGGGCTAGGGCTACCCACTCTGCCCCAGCAGGAGCCCCCCACGCTGCTCTAAGTCTCCTGGGGGTGAGAGAGGACCCCACTTGCCCTCTCTGGAGGCTGGGGAGCAGCAGAAGAAGTCAGAGCTCCCCTTTCTCCTAGGATACCCCAAGGAAAGCAGAACCTAAGGCCAAGAGAGGCAGGGAGCTCCCCAGTCGACGCAGGCTCAGTTTTGTCTTGTGTTTAACCCCCTGACAGCCAGGGCTCCGCTCTGGAGAACCCGACACCCTCCTCCTTCGGGCCAAGAAACGTAGGGCAGGGTGGGGAACCGCTTTCAGGAATCAGCCTAGCCCCAGTCTGCAGGGCCCCTCATGGCAGACAGGCAGGGACTTCGTGAGGGAATGAAGACACAGATGAGAGGAGAAACAGAGGTTCCAGCACTCCCCCTAGGCCCTCCTCCATCCCTAGGCACCCCCTCTTTCTTTCATTTTGCACAGTGACACCCCCACCTGTCTGGGTGGAGGCTGGTCCCACCCGCCCGTCCTCACTCGCTTGACCAGAGGCTCCAGTACCACCTGCATGGCTGAGCTCAAGGAATTCTCAGCAGAGTGTGGCGGCTGGGGTGTGGGGCCACTGAGCCCGCAAGTTCCCTCAGGCTGGGAGGCCAGTCCTGCTTTTCTCACCTTGTGGCTCTGGCACCTTGGACAAGTCAGCGTCGCTGAGCCTGATGGTCCTCAGGGAGAAGCCCCCGGCCTGTGCCTACATTTGGGCAGCTTTTCACAGGGGTGAGGGGGGAACTTGGTTAAGGGGGTAAGGAGGTGTCTGAAGGCTACTGCGGAGCTGGGCCTGCCGCCCGGAGGGGCTGGACTTTTTCCTTTCATTCCCACAGAGAAGACTCGGTTGCTCCCACATCCTCATGGGTTTTGATCATGCCCAGTACCTTCTCGCTCTTTGCCCCAGCACCGTGGGCTGGAACGATGGGACAGTGGGTAGGGCGTTTGCTTTGTTCACAGCCGACTGAGTTCAATCTCTGGCACTCCATATGGTCCCCCAAGAGCAGCCTGGAGTAATTCCTGAGTGCAGAGCCAGGAGTCACCCCTGAGCATAGCCTGGTGTGCCCCCTACCTCCACCCCACCCCCCACAAAAGGCACATCTATTCCGCATGCTCCTGCTTCTAGTCCATCCTCCCTCTCTCTGTCTCTCCAGGGCTCAGTCTATTGCTCCTGTCCTTGCTCCTGGCTCGAGCTGGTGTCTGGGGATTCCCGAGGCCCCCAGGGAGGCTGAGCCAGTCAGAGCTGCGGAGGGAATTCAAGATCAGCCTGCATCTCGCCAGGAAGCTGCTCTCTGAGGTTCGGGTCCAGGCCCACCACTTTGTGAGTCTCCGGTGTCCCTGGGGGTGGCTGATCCAGGGACCTGGGGGCCTGGCGATGCTCGATCCCTAATCTCCTCACCCCACAGGCTGACTCTCACCTACCTGGAGTGAACCTGGACCTCCTGCCCCTGGGATACCAGCTCCCCAACGTCTCCCTGACCTTCCAGGACTGGTGCAAACTCTCCGTGAGCAGGGGATGGGCAGGGTTGGCTGGCAGGAAGGCTGGATCCGGGGGTGGAAGGGTAGAACTGGGATGGATTTGGGGATGAGCTTAGAGATAGAATCTGGGGAAGCTGAGCACATCATTGGCTATAGAGATGGGAGAACAAAACTAGAATTGGAAATGGCAGTTACTGGATTGGGGACTAAAATAAAAGAGCGATGCATCGATGTTAGGGACAAGACATGGGGATGGGAGATGACTGGAGAGTGGAGGAAGTGGAGGATGGACAAAGAATGGGGACAGTAGTGAGGGTGGGAATGGAAGGAGGCTGGATGGAGTTAGTGATGTCAAAGACGCCCAGCAGGGGACCAGAGTGATAGTACAATGATAAGGCACTTGCCTTGCCTGCAGTCGACCCACGCTAAACCCCTGGCATCCCATTTGGTCTCATGAGCACCACCAGGAATGATTCCTGAGTGCAGAGCCTGGAGTCACCCCCTGAGTATTGCTGGGTGTGGTCCTACTCCCAATAAAAGGAGGCATGAAAAAGCGAGGGGGTGGAATGTGGAACTAAGGATGGGAAAGAGCCTGGAGACTGGGAGAAAGTAGGTGAATAGATGGTGAAGGGGGGATGACCTCCTGGACAGTGATGGGGGGGTGGAGGTGGGCTGCAGGAGAGATGACCTGGGACTAGAAATAAGGTTGGGAATGAGACGGGACAGATGCTGAAGACAGTGAAGATGGCAATGGTGATGAGTTGGGGGTTAGGATGGGCAGAGATTTGGGGGTAGGAGGGGGATTGACATTTGGAGGAAAATGAGTCCCAGAGAGAAGGAAGGAGGCCCTCTTTGACCCTCCTGAGTCCTTCCCCCACTCTCCACAGGACGCAGATCGGCTCAGCTTCCTTTCCATGACGCTCAGTCCCTTCCATGCCCTGTTGGAAGGTCTGGGGAGCCGGGGGCCCTGGACCAGCGCAGAGAGGCTGCAACTGTGGACTGTGCGCCTGGACCTCCGAGACTTGCAACGGCATCTCCGCTTCCAGGTACCTGTCCCATCCCTCCTTGACCCAGGGACCAGCACACACAGCTAGAGCTCAGTTTTTTTCTTTGTTTGTTTTGGTCACACCCAGCAATGCTCAGGGGTTACTCCTGGCTATTCACTCAGTTACTCCTGGAGGTCCTCGGGGGACCATATGGTATGCAGGGGATAGAACCTGGATTGGCCACGTGTAAGGCAAACACCTTCCCTGCTGTACTATGGTGTGAGCCCTGGTTCGAGAACTTCTGCAAAGCATGGTTCTCCCAAGTGGGGCTCAGGAGGCCAGAGAACCATCCAGGAGATTCTTGGTTAGTTCTATGTGAGGGCCCGAGGTGCTGCACAGATCCTGTGGTGCCTGGAATTACCCAGTCGCCCTCGTGATACTCAGGGGACCCCCACGGTCATACTTGGCTGTGGTTGGGAGCCTCCAGGGTACACCCAGTGGTGTCCAGGGGGCCCTATGGTGCCAGGATTGAATCGGAGTCAGCTGCATGCAATGACAAACCCGAGACCCAGCACTGTCTCTCTGGCCCTCCAAAGCTCTTGTTTTCCCCCCTTTAGCTTTTGGGCCACATCCAGCGATGGTGAGGGGTTACCACTGACTCCACACTCAGAAATAACTCCTAGTGATGCTTGGGGGACGATATGGGATGCTGGGAATCAAACCTTGTTCAGTTGCATGCAAACCATGTTCAGCTACAGCTCCCCACCGTACTGTCTCTCCAGCCCCAAAAACTCCCTTATTATTTTTTACTGTCTTGGTTTTTGGGTCACGCCTGCTGATGCTCAGGGTTTACTCCTGGCTCTGTGCTCAAGGACCATACCTGGCAGGGCTCTGGGGATTAGATGAGTACCGGGGATCAAACCCAAGGTTAGTCACATGAAAAGCAAGAGCCCTCCCCGCTGTCCCAGGGCTCCGGCCCCAATAGCTCCTTTTAAAAACATTGCCTGCTGGGACTGGAGCAATAGCACAGCTGGTAGGGAGCTTGTCTTGCATGCAGCCGACCCGGGTTTGATTCCCGGCATCCCATATGGTCCCCTGAGCACCACCAGAGTAATTCCTGAGTGCATGAGCCAGGAGTAACACTGTGCATCGCCAGATGTGACCTAAAAGGCAAAATAAATAAATAAGAACATCGAGTGCTCACAGCTGGGGTGAGTGTGGTGTGTGCATAGAGCCTGGCCGTGTCTCTTGGACCCTGTCCACCTTTTCCTGGGATCTTGGTCATAGAGAACAGTTCTAAAGCACTGGGGCAGCACCAGGAAGCAACAAAGCTGACTCCCTCCCCTCCTTTAACTCCCCCAGTGTGTCTCAACATTTCACTTTTAGGTGCCAGAACTATAGTAGGGCATTTGCCAGGAGTAAGCTCTGGGCATCTGAGTCAGGCGTGCCCCACCTCAAAAAAATTTCACTTTTGGGGCTGGAGCAATAGCACAGCGGGTAGGGTGTTTGCCTTGCACGCGGCCAACCCGGGTTTGATTCCCAGCATTCCATATGGTTCCCTGAGCACCACCAGCGGTAATTCCTGAGTGCAGAGCCAGGAGTAATCCCTGTGCATTACTGGGTGTGACCCAAAAAGAAAAAAAAATTTCACTTTTATTTATTTATTTATTTTGCCACACCTGGTAGTTCTCAGGTCTTACTCCTGGTTTTGTGCTCAGGTATCATTCCTGATAGTGCTCAGAGAACCATATAAGATGCTGGAAATTGAGTGGTCAGCATGCAAGGGAAGTGCCTCAACTCCCTATACTATCTCTCTAGGCCTGTCCTTCTGAACATCTCTTTTTTTTTTTTTTTTTTTTTTTGCTTTTTGGCTCACACCCAGAAATTCTCAGGGGTTACTCCTGGCTCTGCACTCAGGAATTACTCCTGGCGGAGCTTGGGAGACTATATGGGATGCTGGGAATCGAATCCAGGTTGGCCACGTGCAAGGCAAACGCCCTACCAACTGTACCATCACTCCAGCCCCTTTCTGAATATCTTAAAGGAAAGAAGAATTTTACCTTTAATGAAAGGAGAATAGAAAATGCAAGCAGTAGAAACACTCGCTCTATTTTTTTGATCCTAAGACAATCCGTTACCAGCAGACAGGAACTTCCTGAGGCCCCCCAATCCCTGGGAAATCCTAGATGGGAAAACCGGCTTCGTGTCATCTTGTTCCTTAACTTCCATTTTCTTGAGCCAAATGATGAGGCAGGACATGAGACGGTGACATAATGAAAGTCTCGTTGGGGCTATCTGGGGAAATCATGGCCTTGTGGTCTCTGAGGTCACTCCGTGCTGGCGGGAGTGACCGGAAGGGAAACTCACTGGGGGCCCTCGCCAGCCGCTGACTCGAAATCTCTCCCTACAGGCGCTGGCTGCAGGACTCAACCTCCCCCAGGAAGAGAGCGAGCTGGAGCAGGGGCTGCCTCCGGGGGCTCTGGGCAGCGTCCCCGAGCCCGGGTGGTCCCGGGTGCCCTGGCCACAGCTCCTGTCCACCTACCAGCTGCTTCACTCCCTGGAACTCGTCTTGTCTCGGGCCGTGAGGGACTTGCTGCTGCTCTCCCAGGCTGGGGACCCCGCCCAGAATTGGGGTTCCCAGAGTCACCTCCTGACCCGGATGACAGGACTCTGTAGCCCCTTCTCCTCGGCCAGCAGGACTTCCGGCGTGCCGTCTGGGACGGGACAGCCTCCAACGCGCGGGCGGCATCCCCCTGCCTCCCTCCCCAGCCCCACCCAATAACTTAAGGCCCCGCCAGTTCTTGCCTGGATATTTATTTATTTCCTGTTTATTTATTGTTTAAGGAAATGATGGTTTATTTATTGTTGGGGGCCCGGCTTGTCCTCCTGGGGTGAGGCTGCCGAGTCGGCTGCCTAATAAAGCACTCACATTGTCTCTCTGTCCCAGCTGCTTTTCAGAGAAGTGCCTGACCCCCAAAGGTCCAAGGGGGGCTGGAGTCTCACCCGCCACCCCAGGTCTCCATCTGCTCCTAAACTTCTGGGAGGCCTCCTGACCCACTTTCCTTCCCTCTAGTGGTTACCATAGTAACGGCAGTGAAGGCTGAGCTTGCTGGTCCCTGTTCCACCAGCCTTTGCTTACAAAGCTCGTAGGCCTCTGTCACCCCTCCCCTCTGGCAGGCTTGGGACACTCCCGCACACCCCCTGAGGACCTGGAGTGGGGACCGGGGGTGAGTGGAGAGTGATGGGGAGGCTGTGAAGACAACTCCCCTCTGGGTCCTTCTGAGACAGGTTGGGGAAGCGGAGAGAGACAGTCCCCGTGGTGGGTGACCAGGCTTCCAGTGTCCTTGGTTCCGGCAGGGTCCGGGCTCTGCTCCGTGGCCCCCACGCCAGACAGCTAGGCGGGAGGATGGAGAGAATGTGTCCAAGCAGCAGAGGGAGGGCACTGAGGTGGGTCCACTCAGGGCCTGACAGTCACTCGGGCCTGTGTCCAGGGCCTCTGTCCGTGTCACTGGGGCTTTGGTTGGCCCAGCCTGGCCTGCAGCTCCTGCATCATGCCCGAGTGAGCCAGGCCGAACCTGCAGAGGGAAGACAGGCCATGGGTGCTGCTCCCTGGGCTCCCCCCCACACCTCCTCGGCTGCCCCCCGTCATGGCTTGGGGCTTACCCGTGTCCCAGCGGCCTCCTCCTCGCGGGCACGGGGGTCCCTTCAGGTCTCAGGGCACTGGGCTGTGGGGGATCCTCAAGTTTCAGAAGACCCTGCTGGGGCACAGAGTCCCCTTCCTGAAGTGGGGGGCTGGGAGGTTCCTCCTGCGTCTCCCGGGTTGGGGGCCGACGAAAAGAGGGCCGGGAGCGGCGCTGGGAGGCATTGCGGGAGAGCAGAGCCCGGCTCCGGGACACCGACACATCCAGGCGGGATGCGGGGAGCAGGGCCTGAGGGGGAGGCTCAGCGTCTGTGGGGGTCGGCCACACCACTCGGCCCAGCCCCGACCCTCCCAGCCCTCACCTCAGTCCAGCAGCTGTGAGCTTCACCTCCTTCTGCACAACCCTCGGCCTCCCCCCGGGGCCCAGGCCCGGCCTCTGATTGTTGCCGTGGGCCTCCGTCCTCTTGGCCTCCCGTGTCCTCCAGGTCTTGGGGATCAGCGGCCTCAGCGTGCACCATCCAGGTCATCTCCTCAGCCTCTGGGGCTCTTCGTGCCTGGCTACTTTGGGGGAGGCTCCCCCACTCCTCCTCCCTGCGCTGCCCCTGGGCCTCTAAAGCCGCCCCGTGGCCCCTGCCGCCTCCCAGCTCCTCGTCTACGGGGCTCCCCACCTCTGCCTCTTCACCTCCCTTCTCTCCCCTGCCGTCCAGGAGTCCCTCCCCGCCAGCAGGCTCCTCTCTCCCTTCCGGCTCCCCATCACCTCCCCAGGGCCCCCACACTTCTCCTGGCCCCTCCCCCGGGTCCTCATCCCTTCTCTCCGTCCTCCCCTCCTGGGTCTGGGCGGTCAGTGTCTCTCCGGCTGGAGTGTCCTGGCTGCTCGGGGTCTCCCCCAGTTCCCCGTCTGCCCCCAGAGACACCTCTGCCTCCACGGTCTCATCCCTGCTTTGGCTGGCACCTGGCTCTCCCCAGAGCTGATCTGGGCCCGCCCCAGCCCCCTGCCTCTCTCCCTGCTCTAGGTTCTCTTCTGCAGGGCTCCCCCTCTCCTCCGCTCTGTACCCCAGGGCCGCTTTCTCCCCTTTCCCCCCAGCCCCCGGGGTCTCTGTGGGTGCAAACCCCAGGCCTCCTGCCCCCTCAGTCCCCAGAGCCTGGCCCCCAGCAGCCTCCTCCTCCTCCTCACCCCCCTCTGCCTCGGCTTTGTCCTCCAGGGCACACCCTCTCTCCAACTCCCCTGTCCTGGGGTCCCCCCAGACTCCTCCCCTCAAGCTGTCAGGTTGGATACACCCCTCAGGCCTGGCATGTCCCTCCGGTCTCCTTTCTGTCTCCCCTTTGCGGGGTCCCAGACCCCTCCAGAGCTCTCCCTCCCCATCCTCTGCTTCCTGGAGCTGCTCTGGCGGGGCTTGCGGGGCTTGCGGGACTCGTATCAGCTCAGGGGGCTGGTTTTCAGGGGTCTCGGGAAGTATTTGCTGATCTGCCCACACCTCCTCCTCCCTCCTCTCCCCTGGGGGCTTCTCAGGCTGGCCCCCGGGGGCGTCCTCCGCCCCAGCTTCACCCTCCTGCTCACTTGGCTCTGGGCTGGGCGGCGGTGTAGGTTCAGCGGCCTGGGAGCTTTCTCTCTCCGTCTCGGCCTCCTTGGCCTGCACCGCCTCCTTCTCTCTGGCTCCAGCAGCTGTGATCTCTGAATCTCGGGCACCCTGGACCCCTTCGCCACCCTCACTGGGCTTGCTTGGCCTGCCGAAGCCCTCACCCCCTGCCCTCAAGGCCTGAGCCCCTTCCAGACCCTCGATTCCCAGCGGCTGGCTCGCTTTGTCAGACTGACTCGCCTCAGCGTCTCTCTTCTCATCCACCTCCTCCTGATCTCCACTGAGGTCCCCCTCCGAGGCTCCGACTCTCCCAGTGCCCTCCGGGGTCCCTTGCTCTGGGGCTGCCCCGTAATCTCGTTCTCTGACTCCTAGGAAGCCAACTTCCTCCTCGCATGAGGTTGGGTGGGTCCTCTCTCCTGCTGAGGTGGTCCCAGCCTCCTCCCTGCCCAGGGCTGTACAGGCCTCCTCAGTGTCTGAGGTTGTACAGGTTTCTTCCCTGCCCAAGGCTGTATGGGCCTCCTCCCCGCCTGAGGCGGTCCAGGCCCCCACCATGCCCGAGGCTATACAGGTTTCTTCCTTGCCGGAGGTTGTACAGGCCTCCTCTAGGTCAGAGGTTCTCCCAGCCTCCTCCCCGCCTGAATCTGGACAGGTCTCCTCTGTGCCTGGGACTGTCCAGGCCTCCTCCCGGTATGAGGTTGTCCCAGTCTCTTCTTCACTTGAAGTTGCCTCATCCTCCTCCCCTCCTGAGGTGGTCCTGGTCTCCTCCCCTCCTGAGGTCGTACCATCCTCCTGTGTGCCCGTTGCTCCCCAGATCTCCTCCCTGTCTGAGGGGGTCCTGAGCTCCGTCCCACCTGCGTTTATCCAGCCCCCCTCTGCGCCTGAGATTACACAGGCCTCCTCCCCTCCTGAGGCTGACCCAGCCTCTTCTTCACCTGAAGTTGCCTCGGCCTCCCCCTCTCCTGAGGTGGTCCCAGCCTCCCCCTCTCCTGAGGCAGTGCCAGCCTCCCCCTTTTCTGAGGTGGTCCCGGCTGACCCCTCTCCTGAGGTGGTCCGGGTCTCCTCCCCTTCTAAGGCTGCCTTCCCCTCCTCCCCTCCTGAGGTCTCTCCAGCCTCCTCCCCTGAGGCTGTCCTGGTCTCCCATCTGCCTGAGATGACCCAGTCCTCACGCTCCGCCCGCGGCTGCCATGTCCCCTGTATGCCCGTGCTTTGGCCACACCTCACTTCTACTTCCCTCCCCGCTCCCCCGGCCCCAAGCACCGGGCTCTCCTCTCCAACCACCTCCCTGCCTGCCTGCTCCGACTCCGGGCTTTCCCCTGGCACCCTCTGGCTGTCAGCAGAGCCTTTCGCCTCAGGCTCCCTGTGCCAGGCCCACTCTGACTCCACCCCTCCGGGCAGCCCTGGCCCTTCTGGCCTGACCTCTTCCTCCTCCCAGGTACTTGGTGTCTCTCCTCTCTTCATTTCCTGCTCACTGGACACCTGACTTTCCTGGCCTTGGCTGCTCCCATCTCGCTCAGCCTCAGACTCTGCCTCAGAATCCTGCAGGACCTCCAAGGAGGCACTCAGCATCCGACATCCGGACGCCTTAGCTTCCTCCCAGACCCCAGTGTCCTGCCCGTCTTCTGGGGACCCATGGGACCTGCCTTCTCCCCCGCCCCAGGTCTGTTCTGCAGCTGAACTTCCCTCCTGGCATCTTCCAGGCTCTTCAGGTCCTCCCAGCTCTTCCTCCCCCTTACTTTGGCTACATCCAAGACCTTCCAGGGCCTCCTGGCCTTCCTCCTCCACAATCTTGCCCTGCTTGCCTGCAGCCGCCTCCCCCAGCCCCCACTCTGCGGGCGCCTCCCTCCTTCCGGCAGTGGGAACCTCATCTCCCATAAGGTAGGAGATAAAGGTGCTCAGAGAGTCCTAGAAGAAAAAGGGAGAGGAAGTCAAGGCACAAGGGGAGATCCAGTCTGCTCCCTGGGGGGCGCGGGTCTGCTGGGGGCTAAGGAGAGAGTCTGGGAGCCGGGAAGAAGCCAGAAATGGGAGAGGACCAAGAAGAGGGGAGTGGGAATGGGTTTGGGAAGGTTGGATTCTAGAAAAGACTGGGTTAGGGGGCTTCCTGATCCTGGGGAAAGAATCTCAAATCTGAGAAGCTCAAAGCGGGAGGCAAGGAAAGGTCCCCGGGAGCAGAAAGAAGATCTCCAGGCTTTGCCCCTCTCACCAGCGCCCCCCTCAAGGCCTGATGCAGCCCCGGGAGATGAAGTCGGAGGAAATCCATCCTGTCTCGCCTCTGGCTGCGTGTCTGTGTCAAGAAGGCTGGCAACAACTGTCCCCACAAGCTGAGATAAACCGGTCTTCCCCAGGACCCAGCACACTTCCTCTTCCCCTGTCAGTCCTTGACGCATACCCTCCCCCAGGCCCTACCCACCCGCCCTACCCACCCCCTGCCCTGCCCACACCAGCTTCCAGCACAGGCTGGGAAGTGCGCACGGGCATCACCCCGGGAGCTCAGGTGCACACTTTGGAGTGAAGGGGTAAGAGCAGAGGTCGGAAGGGAACGTGGGGAGCAGGAGACCTCAGAATTGGGGCTGGGGGAAGGGGGTTTATGTGGCAACTGCAGCTCTAGTGACTCAGGTCTAGTGCTCACACCTCAGCCATTTCCGCCGTGTCCACCCCCCCAACCCCAGCCTCAGAGGAAGCTTGGGTTTGTGGTTCCTGTTTTGCCTGGGGACAAGGAGTAGGAGTGAGGAGGGGGCTGGTGAGAACGCCGGCTTCTCTTTTATGGATCATTAATGCTGCCCCAAGGGGAAGAAGAGTCTGGATTGGTAGTTCCAAAGCCCATCCTCTCATCCGTGGTTATTGCAAAACCAAACTTGGCTAGACTTTGCATTGCAATCATTTGTGTCTATCTCTTACCTTCCTGCGAGTTAAGGGCAAACATCTTGCAAAATTTCTTGAGCCCTGCATGGGGTAGCAGGACCCCATTTTTTCACTGGCTGAAAGATCTAAGAAGCAAATCAAAGCAGGCGTCTTCTACACGGCTGTGTAAAAGCTTGAAGGGACCAGTGGGAATTGGCTGTCAGAAGGCCAGAGGAAAGGACATGATGAAGACAGTTCTGGATCCCGCTTTAACATTGGAAGGAAGGTAAGAGATTGCTCCTTCTCTGGGATCATGTAGAGTGACCTTTACACTTTCTCCCCCACTTCCTTCCTTGAGCCCCTCTTTCCTAATGCTCAGTTAGAGGAACCAGAGGAGGTCACACAACCAGAATCTTGAGCTTTTGAATCATTAGAGCTCTGAACCTTTTTTTTTTTTCTCAGTGTAGGAGTCCTGCTATTTATTCAGCCACTGATTCAGCTGACTGGGGTGGGCATGGACTCCTCTTCACACCCTTGATGTAGGCAGGAATCCTCTGTCCAGTTAGCATCCGTGCCTTTTATTTTTTTTTTAATTAAAAAAAATTTTTTTTTTGCTTTTTTGGGTCACACCATGTTCAGGATGCTCAGGTGTTACTCCTGGCTCTGCACTCAGGAATCACTCCTGGCGGTGCTCAGGGGACCATATGGGATGCTGGGAATTGAACCCGGGTTGGCCGCATGCAAGGCAAATGCCCTACCCGCTGTGCTATCGCTCCAGCCCACTATAGCTTCTTTTTGAAGGGGTCCAAAGGTGTCCTGTAGGTCAGACATTGTGGGATCATTGTTACTTTCTCTTTTCTGCACTTCAGTTTTGTTACCTACAAAAGTGGGGCATGTTGTACCCACTACTTCTGTATTATTTTTGGCCCCAGGATAGTTTGAGAAAAGGTGTTTTTTGTTGGAGGAGGGAGGCGTTTGGGAGAGGATCACCCAGAGATAGTCATGACATACTCCTGGCTCTGCGCCAGAGAACACTCCTGGTGAGTCTCGGGCAACCATATGTGGTGTCAGGGATCAAACTTAGGTTGGTTGCCTGCTAGGCAAGCCATTTAGTTTCCTTATACTATGGTTCTGGTCCTGGATCTCTTAATTTATTGATGCTGGGCGGGGAGTCACTCGGTGACTTATATGCAATGGGGAGGAGAGAGGCAGCAGTCTTGAAAAGAGAATCTGCCATTTTATCTGTGTCCACCTCTGTCACCCGGGAAATGGCTGGGGAAATTTAGGACCAATCAGTCTGCTGTGAGCCTTGCTCCTTGTGGGAAAGGGAAGTCATATGCTTAGGCAGACTTTCCGGGTTCTTGCCTTTTTCTCAGAAAATAATTTCAGGAGAAGATAAGCTGGCGGGGGTGGGGGTGGGGAGAGAGAGAGAGAGAGAGAGAGAGAGAGAGAGAGAGAGAGAGAGAATGCTTGCTTCCCGGGACACATCCCAGTATTAGATATGAAAGTCCACATCTCAGAGGGGAGATACCGGCTACGCATATGCTCAGGCAGCACATGCGCTCAGCAGCAACACATGGGCACAAGCAGCATATGCACACACATCTATTTTTTTTAATTTTTATTAGTGAAACACCATGAGGTACAGTTGTAGACTTACAAATTTTTGTGCTTGGGTTTCAATTATACAATGATCAAATACCCATCCCTCCACCGGTGCCCATTTCCCACCACCACGGATCTCAGTATCCCTCCCACCCCCCACCCCCCCATCCCACCCTGCCTCTGTGGCAGGGCGTTCCCCTCTGTTCTCTCTCTCCTTTTGGGTGTTGTGATTTGCAAAAGAGGCATTGAGTGGCAACCATGTTTGGTCTATAGTCTACTTTCAGCATGCTTCTCCCATCCTGGGAGGATCCTCCTAACACCCTTTATTTGGATGCACACACATCTTTTGTTCAAGTTGGTGTTTATAGGGTTTCTGCCCCATATGGGGCTTTCTAGCTAGCTAAGAGTCAATTGCTAGGGTGATTGCCAAGGGGGTAGAGTTGGGAGTAGTTGATGGTCTTCTTTGATATTTCTTTCCTGGCCTTTGTTCCAACTGGAGCTTGGAAGTGGGGGTGGGGGAGAGGCATCGATGGAAGGTCCAGCATTCTGTGAGTCTGCACTGGCACCAGGCAAAAGTCTTATCAGGCCTTAGTTCCTCTATCTATAAGGCGGGTCCTGACAGCCTTAGGAATAGCTGGTTTATTACTTCCCAAGAACTCATTGCCATAGAGGAGCCTTCCCTGTCTACCTGCTGGATCTGTCTTCCAGCATCTCAATGCCAGTAGCTGAAGTCATAAAAAAAATCATCTTATGTCGATGCTATCTTGATTTCAAGCTCCAAAGCAATCTCAAAGCAACAGACACGAGGAACCAGCTCCGGGCCCTTTCTGTTTCCAGAAAGAACAGACCAGCCAGGGCTGAGTATCCATATTCGTGTCTGGCACCTTAGGGCTACAAGCTACGAGCCGAAGCCACTTCCCTCCATAACGAGTGCTGGCAGGACAGGGCTCCCGCCTTGGGTCCCGCTCAACTAACGTCGTCGCTCTTGTCGCCCAGCCCGGCCCTGCCGCTCACGCCCGCCGCGCCAGGGACCTCGCGGCCCCTCCCGCTCCCGGGGGCTGGGAAAGCCTCGAGCCCAGAAGGAGCACGGACCCGGAAGTACGGGCGACCTCCGGCACGTGACGCTCACGTGACCCGACCCCCCGCGGCTCCGGCCCGAGGAACGTTCAGCTGTTCTTAAAGGTACAGGCCGCGGGACCCCGGCTTTGGAGGAGGCCGGGGCCGCCTCGGCGGGGGTGGGGGGGGGGGCGAGTGGAGTGGGGGGCGCGGCGGGAGAACGCGGCGCGGGGCGCGAGAGCGGCAGAGGGGCCGGAGCCGGGACGGGCGATGGGCGTTGAACCTCCTTTCCGGCCGCAGACCCGCGTCCCCCCGCCCGAGCGCGGGCTGCACGCTCGGACCCTCCGGGGGACCCCGGCCCCGTGTCATGGAAGGCTTGCGGCGGCGCCCGTCCGAGTCCGATGGTGAGTGTGGCGGCCCGAGGGGGTCGTGGCGCCCCGGGGGTTGGGGTCATGCCCTTCTCTTGTCTCCCCTCCCCCCAGGAGAGGAGGCGGCGGCCCCCCAAACCCGGCCGCGCCAGCCGGACCGGCCCCACGCCCCCTGGAGAAACGCGGCGGGTTTCTGGTGAGTTGCCTGAAAACGCGGGTGGGGAGGGGGCAGGTGCGAGAAGTGGGGCTGGACCCACACGTCTTTCCCGGCCCAGAGGTTTGAGCCGAGATTGTCTCTAAAGTCCGGAGTTTGACGCTTTAGTAAATAGGTACCCGGCGGGTACCAGCTCCAGGATGTGACCAGGCCTGTCGTCCACCTGTAGGATTATTGACTTCATGTTTAAACTCTAAACAACTTTAAAAGAAAAAAAAATTTTTTTTATGTTATTTGGGCCGCACCCAGCGATGCCCAGGTGTTACTGCTAGCTCTGCACTCAGGAATTACTCCTAATGGTGCTCAGGGGACCATATGGGGTGCCAGGATCGAACCCGGGTCAGCCACGTGCAAGGCAAGGGCCCTACCCGCTGTACTCTCTGTCCAGCCCCCACTCCCACGGATTTGGAGATTTGTAAAAACCTGTAGTTTCAGAAGAAAAATTTAAAACATTATGAGCCAGAGTGTTTATTTTATACACACTTAAAAAGTGCATCGCTGTTTCCTCAAAGGTCATCTGTCTGCCTCCTAACAGTTCAAATACTGAGCCTTGGGAGATTTTTCTAACACTAACAAACGGTGGGGACTGGGTGACAGATGAGGTTGGAAGTGATTTTCCATGTGACTCGGAAAGTCCCCTCACTACTCTGAGCCTGTTTCTTCCGCTGTAAAATGGGGAGACCCAGGAGTACTATTGTATAGGCTGATGCAAGGGACTCAATTAATTTTCTGACGCTGAGCTCAGTTCCCTATCACTAACTGAGTGCAGCTCTGGGAGATGAGACAGCGACATTCTCATGAATCCTAAAGGGCTTTGTGCTCATCTTGTTTGACCCTAATGTGCTAGTTAGGGAAAATTGTTCTCCCTTTGACAGACCAGTTACCCTGAGGCCACTCCTTTGAGTTAAAGCCCTGGACCTTTCTGTGCCACAGTGAATCAGAGATAGTGGAAGAGGAATACTCTGAGTCAGGATGGTAGCTCAGGGGAGGATCACGAAGAATGAGTTCCAGGGGCTGGAGCAATAGTACACAGGGTAGGGCACTCGCCTTGCATGCCGTGGGCCCCAGTTCAGTCCCCGATATCCCATATAGTTCTCTAAGCACTGGCAAGAGTAATTCCTGAGTGTAGAGCCAGGAGTAACTGCTGAGCATTGCTAGATGTGTCCGCCCCCCGCCAAAAAAAAAGAGTTCAGGGGGCTGGAGAGACAGTACAGTGGGTAAGATGCTTGCCTTGTATGTGGCCGACCTGGGTTCTATCCCCAGCAATCCCATATGGTCCCATGACCACCACCAGGAGTAATTCCTGAGTGCGGAGCCAGGAGTGCTCACCCCCGAGCACCACAGCACCAAATAACAAAAAAAAAAAAATAAAATAAAATAAAATAAGAAATGAGGGGCTGGAGCAATAGCACAGAGGGTAGGGCGTTTGCCTTGCACACGGCCAACCCGGGTTCAATTCCCAGCATCTCATAGGTCCCCCAAACACCGCCAGGAGTGATTCCTGAGTGCAGAGCCAGGATTAACCCCTGAGCATCGCCAGGTGTGACCCAAAAAGCAATGAATAAACAAATAAAATTAAGTTCCAGGGCCCTAGAGATAGTACAGTGAATAGGGTGTGTGCATGCCCTGTTTGCGGCTGACCTGGGAATATAAGGTCCCCTGAGCACTGCCAGGAATGAACCCTGATCACAGAGCTAGGAGATATCTCTGAGCACCACTGAGTATGACCCAAAAACAAATGAACAAAAAGAGAATGACTTCCTTTTCTTCCTCCGCAGGGTTTTGGAGATTAGATATGAACCCAAGTTGTCCTTGATCTTGAATGGCTTGATTCATCAAGGGAGGGAAAGTGTACTGTGTGAAAGGCACAGAACAGGGAAGGGCTGGTGCTAGCACTCAGCAGAGCCCGCAGGCCTGGAGGGATTAAGCTCTATCTAATGTGTCAGTTATAACTTAATAGAGCTGAAAAAGACCCTCTGTCCTCACTGCAGGCTCTTGGGCCTTTGTAACAACTTCTCTTACGTGGTGATGCTCAGTGCTGCACATGACATCCTTAGTCACCAGAGGGCGCCTGGGAACCAGAGCCACGTAAGTGACCCCACCCCACTGCCACCAGGCTTAGTCCATGTGGGAAACTGGGGCCCCTCAAAAAACTCAAAGGATGGGGTGGCCAAGAGATAGAGCGAGCAGGTCAGAACTTTCCATTTTCCAGACCTCTTGCAGGAAGGATCTTTAAGAATCAGTTGGGGCACAGAATACAGCATAGTACAGATAGTACAGATAGTATAGCAGCTTGTCTTACATGTAGGGAACCTGGATTCAATCCAAGACACCTCATGTGGTCTCATATGGTCCCCAAAGTTCCGCCAGACGTGATTCCTGAGCACAAGCCTAGAGTGAACCCTGAGCATCGCCAGATGTGGCCCCCCAAACTAAACAAAAACAGAAAGTCAGTTGGTATCAGTTTTGTAAACTCATAGATTAACTAGATGGGACATTGCTCTCTAACAGGATTTTTTTTTTTTTTTGCTTTTTGGGTCACACCTGGCGATGAACAGGGGTTACTCCTGGCTCTGCACTCAGGAGTTACTCCTGGCGGTGCTCAGGGGACCATATGGGATGCTGGGAATCGAACCCGGGTTGGCCGCATGCAAGGCAAACACCCTACCCGCTGTGCTATCTCTCCAGCCCCTAACAGGATTTTTTAAAATTTTCCTTTCCTTTTTTTCAGTGATGCAAAATAGTTTTTATTGAACAAAAGTTACTTATGTGTTATGGAAGTGATAGTACAGCAGGGAAGGCGTTTGCTTTGCAGATAGCCAACCCAGTTGGACTCCACGGCATCCCATGTGATCCCGCAAGCCTGCCAGGAGTAATTCCTGAGTGCAGAACCAGGAGTGACCCCTGGGTGTGGCCCAAAGTAGAAAAAAAAAATGTGAGGGGAGAGAAAGACACTGTTCAAGAGAGAATATGGGTTTTTCCAGAGTGGAAAGAGTAGGCAAGCAAAGATCCACTGAGGATCAAAGTTCAAAGATTTGAGCTGATTTCTCCCCTTTTTCATCTGACCGCACAGACAGCGCTCAGGGGAGACCCCGGGGGCACTTTTGACAATATTCTGCCAACTAGTGTGGATGGTTCAATGCTAGGATCTGACGATGCAGAGCTGCTCAGGCCCCTTGGTGATGCTTGGGGGCCTGTGCAGTCCAGGGTCAAACTCAGATGCTTGCGTGAGCAACATTGAACTAACCCTAGTCCCTATAGTAGGATTTCTTCTTTTTTTTTTCTTTTTTGCTTTTTGGGTCACACCTGGCGATGCACAGGGGTTACTCCTGTTTCTGCACTCAGGAGTCACTCCTGGCGGTGCTCGGGGAACCATATAGGATGCTGGGAATCGAACCTGGGTCGGCCACGTACAAGGCAAACGGCCCTACCTGCTGTGCTCCAGCCCCGAGATCCCAATTTTTTTTTCTTTTTGGGTCACATCTGGCGATGCACAGGGGTTACTCCTGGCTCTGCATTCAGGACTTACTCCTGGCGGTGCTCAGGGGACCATATGGGATGCCGGGAATCGAACCCGGGTTGGCTGCGTGCAAGGCAAACGCCCTACCCGCTGTGCTATATCTCAGCCCCCCCAAGATCCCAATTTTTAAATGAAAGCTCCTAAACACGATATCCAAATTAAATCCACTTACATGGCCTGGGGATGGAGCAACAGCACAGAGGGTAAGGCATATATGCCTTGTACATGGCAGACCAGGGTTCGCTTCCTCTGTCCCTCTTGGAGAGCCTGGCAAGCTACTGAGAATATCCCACCTGCATGGAAAAGCTTGGCAAGCTACCTGTGACGTAATCGATATGCCAAACACAGTAACAAGTCTCACAATGGAGACATTACTGGTGCCCTCTCGAGCAAATTGGTGAACAACGGGAGGACAGCGCTACAGTGCTACAGGGCCTGAGGCCTGCAGCGTAAGACCTCGCTGGACCCTGCCCCCCACCCTGCAGGGCACCCCATGAGGCCATTGCTGTCCCAGGCCCCCCTTCAAGTCTGAGGGGAAACTGAGGCAGGCGGAGATGGTGTTCCTGGGCTCCGGGCCCCTGGGGGTGAAAGACTTTGCTTCCCTCACAGGTGGAGCCAGGTCCCACGCCCAGCCCCCACAACAGCTCATCTCGATTCGACTGCAACCGCATCTCCACCGCCGTGAGTCCTGAGTCCTACCCCACACGACTGTGAGCGTGGACACCGTGACGTCCCCGTTTCCCAACCAGGGCAAAGACCTTGACACCCTGCCAAGGCGTGGCAGAGGTAGGGGCTGAGCACGCTCTTGGCGAGGCTCACGCCGGCTCCTCTGTGCTCCTCCCCAGGCAGTGCTCCTAGCGGACATCCTCCCCACCCTCGGCATCAAGCTGCTGGCTCCGCTCGGGCTCCACCTGGTGCCCTACAGGTCCGGGCGGGACTGGGCCAGGGAGGCTGTGAGGCCTGTGGGGGGTGAGCCCCCCTGACCTGCCCCTGCCCCCATCCTCCACAGCCCCCGGGTGCTCGTCTGCGGGGTGTGCGCGGCTGGAAGCTTCCTCCTGGTGGCCTTCTCTCCTTCCGTGATTATCAGCCTGTGTGGTGGGTGTCAAGTTTTATGGGATTTTTTTTTTTTTGGTGGTGGGGGGAGTGGAAGCCCAGAAAAACTGGACCGAGCACTGTGGGGCGTTCTCCCTGCGCCTTCCTCAGAAAAGGGATGTTTCTGTAGCTCTTTTAACCCCGCTAAGAACATAGGGATTGCGGGGGGGTCTGGATCAATAGCACAGTGGGTAGGGCATTTGCCTTGCACGTGGCCGACCTGGTTTGATCCCCGAAATCCTATATGGTCCCTAAGCACCGCCAGGAGTGATCCCTGAATGCAGAGTCAGGAGGAGTAGCCCCTGAGCATCGCCGGGTGTGACCCGAAAAGAATAAAAAAAAAGAGTGTAGGGATGGGAGGCGGCAGCTGAGGTGGGGGTGAGGATGGCTGGAGAAGATGGCAGAGATGTTCCAGGCATCTCCCTGGGTGACAGCTGGGCAGCCCAAGGGAGCTGTTCCCTGCCGCGGGGAAGCTGCTTCTCCTTCCCTTTGGGGCCCGGCCAGGCCTGGGCTCTGTCGCCCTCTGCGGGCTGAGGCTGTGGGCAGACGCACCATGGCCCTGCTTGTTTCATGTTTCTCACAGGTGTGGTCCTGGCCAGCATCTCCTCAGGGCTGGGGGAGGTCACCTTCCTCTCGCTCACCGCCCACTACCCCAGGTAAGCTGATGCACTGGGACGCTCAAGAAACACCCCCCTTGCCTAGGGCTCTGGGTCTCCTTTATTTTTCTCTTAGTTGTTTGTTTGTTTGTTTGTTTTCCCTTCTTTATTGGCTTTGGGTCATACCCGGTGATGCTAAGGGGTTTATCCTGGCGCTGCACTCAGGAATTTTTGCTGGTGAGATCAAACCCGGGTTAGCCGCGTGGAAGGCAAGCACCATCCCTACTGTCCTATCGCTCTGGCCCTATTTTTGTTGAGGTAGCATAGGGTCACCGAGTGCTGCTGGCTTCAGTGCACAGCAGGGCCTGTAGACACTGCTCAGTCACAGAAGGACCCCTTCCCTTCACACCCCCGTCAGCCTGTCTGTCTGATTACCCCCACCCTCCGCCTTCCAGGAAACCCTCATTACATCTTGAAGTCTAAAGATTTATTTTCCTTTTGTTCGTTTGTTTTGTTTATGTACCTCACAGGTGAGGTCACAGGGTGCTTGTTTTTCTCTGGCTTTTTTTTTTTTCCTTTTTGGGTCATACCCAGCGATGCACAGGGGTTAATCCTGGCTCTGCACTCAGGAATCACTTCTGGTGGTTCTCAGGAGACCATATGGGATTCTGGGAATCGAACCTGGGTCAGCAGCGTGCAAGGCAACGCCCTACCCGCTGTGCTATCGCTCCAGCCCTGACTTATTTTATTAATAAGGCCCTGTAGCGCTCTTCGTGTTGCAAATATTGGGATTTCGGAGGCGCCGCTCAGAAATCTGTGGCTCTCCCATCTCTGGCACCTGTTCGCTGCCCCTGCATTCTCCCCCACAGAGCTGTGATCTCCTGGTGGTCGTCAGGTACTGGCGGAGCAGGGCTGTTGGGGGCCTTGTCCTACCTGGGCCTTACCCAGGCCGGCCTGTCCCCCCAGCACACGCTGCTGTCCATGCTGGGCGTCCCCGCGCTGCTGCTGCTCAGGTAAGGGAGGAGGCTCGGGGTCCCACCTCCTGAGTGCATGTGGGCTCTGAACATCCCCTTGGTTTGAGTTTGGGGCAGCCTCTGGGGGTGCGGACATGGGGCTTCTCATGTGGCGCTTGGTGTCCCCCTGTCTCAGAGGTGGGCCCCATCCTGGTTCTCTGAGTTGGCCTGCAGGCAGCGTCCGGCAGAGTTCCCTTCCCAAGCCGTTTGAGGGGCGCATGGGTGGACTTTGTCAGTTTTTGTGTGTGTTTGTGCTTTAGGGGCAAAGGATGTATTGATGTATGTACTGTCGGCTCCTGTCCAGGGCACCCCTACGATTTCACTGAGGACTAGGGCAAGGCTGTAGGAAAAAGGAAATTCAACTTGAAAATATTAAGTGAAAAAAAGTGTTATGTACAGGAATGTGGTAGCAGTCGATACCCAGCAGCCAGTCCTAAGGGACTGAAGTTTGGGGTTCCTGCCCCCACACAGAGGTTGTGTATGAAGAAGCTGGCGCACAGGGCCAGGAGTCAGTTGGTTCCATGGTGGCAGGCATCCAGGGTAGGCCAGGACACATTTCAGCTCGGGAGACATAAGTGCCCTTCCGGGGGCTGGAGCGATAGTACAGCAGGTAGGGCGTTTGCCTTACAGGTGGCCGACCTGGGTTTGATCTCTGGCATCCCATATGGTCCCCCAAGTACCGCCAGGAATAATTCCTGAGTGCTGAGCCAGGAGTAACCCCTGAGCATCGCTGGGTGTGACCCCCCAAAAAAAGTGTCCTTCCATAATCGGAGTGCTTCGGTATAGGAATGAGGATTGGTTGGGACCTTAGAGGAAGTGAAGGGTGCCCTGGACAGGAGCTGAAAGCACTCTCCCTCCCCCTCCTAGCTACTTCTCATTGCTCACGGCCTCCGAGCCCCAGGACCCTGGAGGGGAAGAGGAGGCAGAGACTTCCAGCCGGCAGCCGCTGATCAGCAATGAGACCCCAGAGTCAAAGCCAGGTAGGAGTCCCCACCCTCGCAGGGGTCACCCACTGGGTCTTCATCAATTCCCCCTGCAGTGGGCCCAGTTGGGAGCACCTGTCCCGTTCAGCTCGTCACGGGCTGCTGGGCACTCAGTCTGCTCTGGGCACTGCAGTCCCTGGTGACCGGGTAAGTGGATGAGATGCACGAGGAACCCGGGTGCTGCACCTCAAACAGGGCTGTGTCAGAAACCGACCACCAGGGGGACTGCTGATTAGGAGGTGTTGTTGGACTGGGAATGACAAGGAGTCAGCCCTGGGGACGTGGGAATGACCAGGCAGAGGATCAGCAAGAGCTGAGGTCCTGCAGAGGCAGGAAGCTTTGATGCTCCAGAAATAGAGCCAAGGGGGCTGAATAGGACAGCGGGGAGGATGATTACCTTGCACACAGTCGACCGGAGTTCCATCCCTGACATACCGTATGGCCCCCTGAGCACCGTCAGGAGTAACCTCTGAGCATCACCAGGTGTGGCCCGTTGTTCACTGATTTGCTCGAGCGGGCCCAGTAACATTGTGAGACTTGTTACTGTGTTTGGCATATCAAATACGTCATGGGGAGCGTACCAGGCTCTCCCGTGCAGGCGAGATACTCTCGGTAGCTTGCTGGGCTCTCCGAGAGGGGCGGAGAAATCAAACTCAGGTCAACTGGTTTGGCCGTGTGCAAGGCAAACGCCCTACCCACGGTGTGGCCCAAAAGTTGAAAATAAAAAGAAATAGAAGCCAGGGTCTGGGGTGGCTGGGGGGTGGAGGCCGCCATGAGGTCTCATCTGAGGTGGGAGGGCTGCTCTCCACTTGGTGCTTGGGGGATGTTCCTGGCAGTTGGCAGGACCATGGGGTACCAGGGTTCAAACTCAAGATTCCTACATGTAAACAATATGCTCCAGCCCTTGGAACTATCTTCCTGTCACCTTAACTCTCTGGGGGATTGGGGTTCCCAGCAGGGCTCAGGGTGTACTCCTGGCTCTGCATTCAGGGATGCCTCTTGACAGTGCTTAGGGGACTCTAGCGGGTGCTGAGGATCAAACCCGGGTTGGGTGTGTGCAGAGCAAGTGGCTTCTCCACGGTCCTGTCTCCCAGCGCCTTAGCTGTTTTTAAATGGTGGTAACAGACTTGAGGGGAAGGTTTATCTATGTAGCATGAAGGTTACATAGATAAAACCTTTTGGGTCTTTGTTTTGGGCCATACCCAGCAGTGATTAGGGAGGGGCTGCTCCTAGCTCCCAAAGGTGCTCAGAAGACTATGAGGCCCTTGTAGCCGCCTCCCCGGCTCCCACTTTAGCCATTTTCAGCATTGCACCCGTCCGTGTGGAGGGTGTGCTCGCTGTCCTGGCTGCCGGGGGTGTGGGGGGAGCCCTTCCCCACCAGCACCCCTTGCTGCGTCGGCAGAACGATCCCTTCTCTCCCGGCCCCGCAGGCGTTGGCTCGGACCTCTCCCTCCAGGAAAAGTGGAGCGTGTTTAAGGTACGGGTGGTGGCACTGGTGTGGGCCCGGGGGCCGGTCCCCAGCGCTTGGCCATCTGCTGAGGCCCGTGACTCTTCCAGGGCCTGCTGCGGTACATCATCCCCTTGGTCCTGGTGTACTTCACCGAGTATTTCATCAACCAGGGCCTTGTGAGTAAGGGCTGCTGGGACGGGTGTGGAGGCAGCCGTCCGGCGGGGACTCACCTGGCCCTGTCCATCTCCCCTGCCTGGTCTCTGCTGTAGTTTGAGCTCCTCTTCTTCCGGAACATATCCCTGAGCCACGCGCAGCAGTATCGCTGGTGAGGATAGCAAGGGGTGGGGGGCAGGACAGGGAGGGCCTGGGAAGAAGGCCTCGAGGCACAGGGCTGACCTTTTGGACTTCTGCCCCTGCACCCCCAGGTACCAGATGCTGTACCAGGCCGGCGTCTTTGCGTCCCGATCCTCTCTCCGCTGCTGTCGAATCCGCTTCACATGGGTCCTGGCCCTGCTGCAGGTACCAGCCCCTGATCGCCCCTCCCCTCCCTCTGCAGCTCCCGGATTCCAGGGTGCATTTACCTCTCCCCCCCCCCCCACCCCCAGCTCCCAGTTTGTGGTCTGAACTCGGGGACTAGCAGGTCAGCCGTGTGGCCTCAGGAGCCAGGCGAACTGGGAGCGAGGCACAGCTGCTCTGCTCAGCTGCTCTGCAGCACAGGGCGGGCCTCTGGGCCAGGGTAGACTGGGTCAGAACCGGGCATGAGATAGGAAGGAAAGTCCAAAACTTTGGTATTGTGCTGTCGTCAGTTGGCTCTGAAAATCAGTTGGAAAAAAATGTAGATTGGGGGCCTGGAGTGATAGTACAGCGGATAGGGCGTTTGCCTTGCACGCGACCAACCCAGGTTCAATTCCCAGCATCTCATATGGTCCCCTGAGTAGCGCCAAGAGTAATTTCTGAGTGCAGAGCCAGGAATAACCCCTGTGCATTGCCTGCTGTGACCCAAAAAGCAAAAAAAAAAAAAAAATCCTTTTTAACAAACTTAATTTATGATACCAAAAATGGAGTAATTACAGATTACATTTTGTTTGTGTTTTTTTGTTTTGTTTCCGGTCTTGGATTTTTGCGCCATACTTGGCGATACTCAGGGCTCATCTCTGCTCTACACTCAGGGATCACTCCTGGGGGGCTCGGGAACCTGATGGGATGCCAGGGATTGAACCTGGGTCAGCTCCGTGCAACGCAAACCCCCTCCCCACTGTAGTATTTCTCTGCACCCCCAGATTATACTTCAATGTTACAAGTTCACAGCATGTAAAGACCATATTTCCTCTGTGCAGTCCTGAGCCCAGGGCAGAAATGTGTTGCTTTTGAGCTGAACCATAATTGTGATCACAGCAGCTTCCTGGAACAGGGGTTTGCCCTCGCTTAATTCCCTAACAGAAAACGTCTGTTCACGCTGCTGCTGACAACTTTTTTTTTTAATTTTGTTTGTATTTACTTTGCTTTTTGGTCATACCCAGTGATACTCAGGGGTTACTCCTGGCTCTGCACTCAGGAATTACTCCTGGTGGTGCTCGGGGAACTATGTGTGATGCCAGCGATCAAACCTGGGTTGACTGTGTGCAAGGCAAGCGCCTTCCCCGCTATACTGTCACTCCAGCCCTGACAGCATTTCTTGCTATCACCAACACACGGGATTCCAGAGTGTTCTTTTAAATGTGAATGTGACCTCAGGCTTCCTGTGTTCAAGTCTCTGGGGCGGAGAGACAGTGCAGCGAACAGGACATCTTCTTGTGCCTGGCAGACCCAGTCCAATCCCTGGAGCCCCTGAGACCTGCCAGGAGATGGTCCTTGAGCACAGGGGCAGGAGGAAGTCCCGAGCAGCACCAGAGGTGGCCCAAAAAATAACAAAGTAAAACAAAAAGTGAACCTCTGAGGAGGAGGAGGTCTGCATGGCTCTCCAGGGTGAAGGCGATCTGGGGCACATCAGGTGAACCCCGAGGGGCCTACACAGTGGGGGGATCATTCCGTGTACAGAGGAGTAGAGAGTGGGGTGCCCTGAGGGATCAAGCACAGAAGACCCTACAAGTCCATGGGGGAGGGGGACCTCTTACAAGAGGTGACATATTAAAAAATGTAGCACTGTAGCACTGTCCTCCAGCAGGCCCAGTAACATTGTGAGACTTCTTGTTACTGTATTTGACATATGGGTAGCTTGCCAGGCCTTGCGGTGGGGCGAGATACTCTTGGTAGCTTGCCAGGCTCTCCAAGAGGGGCGGAGGAATTGAACATGGGTCAGCCGGGTCGGCCTCATGCAAGGCAAACGCCCTACCTGCTGTGCTATCGCTCCAAAAAAAAAATAAAAGAGGTGACATCATGGAGACAGTTGGGGCTCGTTCTGCCCAGCGGACCCCAGGAGACCCACCTCCCTGTTGGGACAAACAGGAACACAGCCAGATGGGGACAGCTGGCACCTGGACAGCAAAATCAGCCCTGGCCCAGGCCTGCTGGGCTAACTATGGCTCACTGTGTAAAATGGAGGGTGTTCCTCTGTTCAGATAGTTAGGGAGCCCTTGGGAGGGGTTCTGGAGAGAGACCGTGTGAGCACCCCGATCTCAGCTAAACTGCTGGGATGAGGAGACCCCAGCGGGGGGTTGGGAGGGCTAGCATTGTTAAGGTGGGAGTGCCCTGAGCTTGGGGGGAAGGCTGGGAGGGTGTGAGGCGGGGAGTGAGAAGGCTGGCCTCAGACCTCAGGGTCTGGGGGGACCCCTGCCTGTGGCTGTGGGGTTTCTCCATCCCAGCTTCCAGAACCAGAGCCCCCCTTTCTCCGGCCTCTATGCCGTGTTCACACCACCCCCCTCCCCCACGCCCACAGTGCCTCAACCTGGCCTTCCTGCTGGTGGCCGTGTGCGTGAACTTCCTGCCAAGCATCTACCTCGTCTTCCTGATCATTCTGTATGAGGGGTTCCTGGGGGGTGCGGCCTACGTGAACACCTTCCACAACATCGCACTGGAGGTCAGCACCGCTGCCCGAGGGCTCACGAGAGCTGGGGGAGGCCCGGCTGGAGGGGAGCCCCGCAGCCTCACCCCGCTCCCCACCTGCACCCACAGAGCAGCCCCGAGCACCGGGAGTTCGCCATGGAGACCGCCTGCATCTCCGACACCCTGGGCATCTCCCTGTCGGGACTCCTGGCGCTGCCGCTGCACAACTACCTTTGCCACCTCTCCTGACCCGGCACACAGGATGCTGGGACTGATGGACAGGCAGGTCCGACACCGAGGCCTGTGAGCGATGCCTCGGACTGGCCTCCACCCCTGCCCTGGGCAGAGAGGTGTGTAAAGCCCCACTTCTGCAAAGGGTAGCCTTGCCACCTACCCCTGCGCTGGTCTCGGGGAGTTTCTGGGTGGCTTTATGCCCTTGGAATAAATGTCTGTTTCTTTGATCCTTGTGCCATTTTTCTCTCTTGAAAAAAAAAAAGTTGTTTCAGGGGCTGGAGCGATAGCACAGCGGGTATGGCATTTGCCTTGCATGCGGCCTATCCGGGTTCGATTCCCAGCATCCCATATGGTCCTCCGAGCACCACCAGGAATAATGCCTGAGTGCAAAGCCAGGAATAATGCCTGAGTGCAAAGCCAGGAGTACCCCTGAGCATCGCTGACTGTGATCCAAAGAGCAAAAAACAAAAAAGAAAAAAAAAGTTTCTTTCATTTCAGAAGAGGCATATGCCTACTTGGGACTGTCCCTGAGACAGTGTAAGATCTTTTCAGCCTGGAAGGAAGGTACAGCAGGTAGGGCGCTTGCTTGCACATGGCTGGCCTGGGTTCAGTCTCTGGCATCACCAGGAGTGATTACTGAGCACAGAGCCAGGAGTAACCCTTGAGCACCATCAGTGTGGTCCCAATACAAGACAAAAACCCCAAAAACAAAACAATATTTGAGCCTGTTCTTGTTTGTCTTTAAGGCATATTGCTTTGGGGGGCCGGAGCGATAGCACAGCTGGTAGGGCGTTTGCCCTGCACGTAGCCGACCCAGCTTCGATCCCCAGCATCCCATATGGTTCCCTGAGCACTGCCAGGAGTAATTCCTGAGTACAAAGCCAGGAGTAACCCCTGAGCATTGCTGGGTGTGACCCAAAAAGGAAAAAAAAAAAACTTATTGCTTTGGGACCGGAGTGATAGTACAGTGGGTAGGGCAGTTACCTTGTATGCAGCGGGCCCGGCTTCAGCCCCTGGGATCCCATATGGTCCCTTGAGCACTGCCACGAGCAGTTCCTGAGTGCAGACTCAGGAGTAAGTCCTGAACATCGCCAGATGTAGCCAATAAAGCAAGACTTTTATTTCATTGGTATATTCATTCACAGTATAGAACAATCTGGATACATTTCTCAGACACATTTTCGTATGTGTAGACAAGTTGAAAGAGGATCAGCCATGCACACAGCCACCCCAGGTTTGGTTTCTAGCCGCCCATATGGTCCCCTGAGCATCACCCAGGAGTAATTCCTGAATGCAGAGCCAGGAGTAATCCCTGAACATCACCCGGTGTGGCTCAAAAAACAAATAGTAATAATAATACCTCTTAGTATACTTTATAATGTTTCAGCAATATATTTTGTTTTATGGTATAACCTTCTGATATGCCTTTTATTTTCCCAAATCCAGTAAGTCCCCATTTGGGGGGAACAGAGCTTCTGGTGAGCTTGGGGACCATACGGTATTCCAGGGATCGAACCAGGGTCGACTGAATGCAAAGCAATCACCCTACCCACTGTACTATCATTCTGGCCCCATGAACTCTTTATTAGTTTATTATGTATTAGGTAGATTCCTTAGCATTTTCTATGTACAAGATTATATGGGTAGTGGCTGGAGCGATAGCACAGCGGGTAGGGTATTTGCCTTGCATGCGGCCGACCGGGTTCGATTCCCAGCATCCCATATGGTCCCCTGAGCACCGCCAGGAGTAACTCCTGAGTGCAGAGCCAGGAGTAACCCTGAGCATTGCTGGGTGTGACCCAAAAAGCAAAAAAAAAAAAAAAAAGATTATATGTGTTTTTTTTAATTATATGGGTTTTATACGACATTACAAATACTCTCTATATACCTAAGTTTTATTTCATGAATGCCTTTTATTTCACTTCATTGCCTCATTCCCCTGACTAAAACCTATAGTTAGTTTACCTCTACAGAAAATGTGAGTCTTTTATTGTTGTGGATTTTCTATAATACCCAGCAGTGGTCAGGGGCTATTCCTGGCTCTGTGCTCAACAGCCTTAGATTGTAAAATATGAAGTGTATTATAGGAGCCAAAGAGATAGTATAGCAGGTAAGGCTCTTGCGTTGCACACGGCAGACCTGGGTTCAATACCTGCACCCTATTTGGTCCCTAAGCCTGCCATGAGTGATCCCTGAGCACAGAACCAGGAGTAAGTCTTAAGCACAGCCGGGTGTGGCCCAGAAAAAAACCCAAAAATCAACAGTGTGTTGAAAGGCCTGATGCCTCTTTAAAAAAAAAAAAGCATACTCTAAAAACTTTATTTGTTTATTGTTTGGACCATACCCAGTGATGCTCAGGGGATAGTCCTGGCTCTATGCTCAGGAATTATTACTGGTGGTGTTGGGGGGGCATATGGGTGCTGGGGATCAAACTCAGGTCAGCTACGGGCAAAGCAAATGCCCTACCTGCTGTACTATGTCTTACCTGCCCCTGCTTTTTTTTTCTTTTAATATGGAACGCTTCACGATTTTGCATGTCATCCTTGCGCAGGGGCCATGCTAATCTTCTCTGTATCGTTCCAATTTTAGTACATGTGCTGCCAAAGCGAGCACTCCCCCTGCTTTTTTTAAAAAAAAGAAATAGAAATCATCCCCATCCGGGCATTTGCCTTGCACGCGAATGACCCAGGCTTGATCCCTGGGATCACAGATCCCCCAAGCACCACCAGGAGTAATTTTTGAAAGTAACCCTGAGCATCACTGGGTGTGGCCTAACCCCACCTGCCCCCTGTTATGTCCCTGGAAGGGAGTTTTGCCCCCACATTGACCAGACCAGACACGAGGCTACAAATGCAAGGCCCCTTTATTGCTAGCTCGAGCTAGAGTCCAAGTCTCATCCAACACAGCGGAGTCTTGACAAGGACCCTGACTCCAAATTCTGAGCAGTTTATATAGGGTTTGGTTACAAAACAGCATTTTTCCTAGGAACCGGCACTATGTTTCCAATTCTGGTACCATCTGGTCCAGTGACTCCAGGGACCAACACTATGTTTCCAATTCTTGGTCCCTGTCCTTCCCATGACTCCACTCCCTCAGCCCTCTCTACTTGGCTGGGTGCGACTGCCCATGCCCCCCACTCTGATAGGCTGCTGCCACAGGGTGGCTTATCTGCCGAGGGGATACTGTGTTCTGAGAAGTCAGGACTTTCTGATAGGGGGAACTGAGACTTAGGCCTGCTGAGTTTTGGTCTTAAAGTGGAGCTTGTCATGGCTCCACTTTAGACTCACACCCCAAGAAGAGAAATCATGCCCACCTACCTTCTTGGGAGGAGGGGTATCTGGTGCTCGGAGCCGGGGATTGAATCCAAGTCTGCTGTATGCAGCAAGGTGAGTGCACTACCCACTCTACTATCACCACTGTTACCACCCTGCAAAACGTTATTAGGTACACAGAAATATTATTAAACAAGGGCTGGAGAGATAGCTCTATGGGCTGGACTGCATCCTTTGCATGCAAGAGGCCCAGATTCTATTATTGTCATCACATGGTCCCCTGAGCACTCCCAGAGTGATTCCTGAGCACAGCTAGTTGTGGCTGCAAGCCCCAAAATAATAAAATATTACTGAACAGAGTGTGTCTCTGAAATAATTTCTAGGCTACTCCCAATAGTACTTGGGGGATACCCCCGGATTAGTACTCAGGGATCACTCCCAGCAGTGCTCAGGGGACTGTTTGGTGCCCAAGCTAGAACCTGGGCCTCCCATGTGCTTTGCATACAGCTCAGCTATCTTCTCTACCCTCCCAGTTGTGTGTGTGTGTGTGTGTGTGTGCGCGCGCGTGTTTTGGGGGGAGGGAGGTTGGGTCACAATCAGCAGTGCTCAGGATCTACTCCTGATTTAGTGCTCAGGAATCACTCCCAGTGGTGTGCAGGTGAGCATATGTGATACTGGGGATGGAACTCAAGTCTGCTGCGTACAAGGCAAGAACCTTGACCCTTGTACTCTCTTCTCACCCTCAATTAATTAATTTGCTTCCCAAGTGGTTTTTAAGGGGGCCAGGATCCATCTCATCGCAATAATTAGCCAAATGGGCAGTGGTTCAGGGCTGGACCCAAAGATGTCATGCTACCTAGTCCCTTTGGTGCCAGTGACTGTCAGAGTCATCCTGGCAGTGTCCTGGGGCTTCTAGCACTACCCAGTGATGCTTGGGAGACCACGTGGTGCCAGACACTAAACCCGGCTGGCCACATGCCTTGCATTTACTAACTGCTATTCTATATCCCAAGCACTGCCAGAAGTAACCCCCGAGTGCCACCGAATATAGCCCACGAATCATACATATTTTCAGAAGCATTTTCCGTGGACTCTGAATCCAAAGGCTTGATTTCAGTAGCTTAGCTAAAAACTGCTCTTTGCGAATTGAGGTTTTCTCAGCTATCACATAAGGTTGGTAATAGCTGCTTTTCCTGCCTGCCTACAAGTCTATCGTGAGTTTTGAATGCCTTTTATGCATTTAAAACTGCTCTTTAAAGGCCATTTATGACCGTGACCTTTGTTTGCTGGTAGCATTATTCCAGGCATTGAAGAGGACAGTTGACTCAGGTTGATGTGTCCGCCCACACAGACCAGTGCAGGCAGACTAATCAGAGCTCTGCCAGCCGGGCTTCCTGCTCTGCAGCTGCTATGGACGCCACAGAGGACGCCACTAACATTTACCCATCCAGAACACCCGGGCTCTGCTGGGGCCTCTGGCTCATAGCCTAGTTATGTTCATAAAAGACAAAGTTCTCAGCTTTTCTTTACTCTCCTTTCATCCCCATCTGTCCTATTCACAAGACCTGTTTTGTCCACTAAAACAGTGTGAATGGTTGGGGCTGGAGCCATAGTACAGTGAGAAGGATATTTGCTTTGCATGTGGCCGACCCAGGATTGATTCACTGGCGTCCCATATGGTCCCCTGATCACTACCAGGAATAATTCCTGAGTGCAGAGCCAGGAATAAACTCCTGGGCATCACCAAGTGTGACCTAAAACCAAAAAAAAAAAAAAATTGTTAGGGATAAGAGCTATAGTACAGTGGTGAGGGTGCTTGCTTGCGTATGCAATAGACCCAGATTCGATCCCTGGTATCCCACATGGTCCCCCAAGTACCACCAAGTGTAGTCCCTGAGCTCTGAGTCAGGAGTAAGCCCTGAGAGTTGCCAAGAAGTGTGGCACAAAAACAACATTGTGAAGGGCCAGGGATGTGGTAAAGTGTATGCTTCTCATGTGTGGGGCCCTGAGCTAGATCACAGTACAGAAACTAACCTCCAACTAAAAAAAAGTGCTAGAATCCAGCTCTAAAACAGCAAAACTCTCAGTAGTTCGGATGGCTGTGAAATGTCACGGTTGAATGTTTGGGTTGGAAGATCCGGGGTAAGTCACTTGTCTTCTTGTGGGGACAACAGAAGCTTGCACACACACACAAAATATTTTATTACGATTTGAAAGAGGCATGCATTCATGAGAATCCCTCGACATCCTATATGTCCCCGAGTCCCGCCAGGAGTGATCTTTGAGAGCAGAGCCAGGAGTAAACCTAAGCCTCACACAAAAACAAAATAATAATAAAATGGGGCTGGAGCAATAGCACAGCAGATAGGGCGTTTGGCTTGCACGCGGTTCGATTCCCAGCATCCCATATGGTCCCCCGAGCAACGGCAGGAGTAATTCCTGAGCGAAGAGCCAGGAATAACCCCTGTGCATGACCAGGTGTGACCCAAAAAACAAAAAATTAATTAAAAAAAATACGGTCCTTGGAGGACAGAAAAGCACGGCCAGAGCTGGGAATCTCGCGGTCCGCGATTCCCGCAGTCCGGGTCACACCCGATCGTCCCCGCCCCTCAGAGGCCGCGCAGAGGCCGCTGGGAGTTGTAGTCACGGGCTGTAGTTCGCCGGCGCCTTCCGGAAGTGACGCAAGTGCCCGGCTCGCCACCTTCCGGGCTTCCGCTCGGGCTCCCCGCGAGTGTCGCCTGCTCAGCCGGTGCGTGGGTTTGTCCTGGCGGCCGCGTGCCGGGAGGGCGGGAGCCGGGGTCGGGACTCGCGCGGTCTCGGGGCGGGGGCAACTCCCGGGTGGCGGTCCCCACGCGCCCGTGTCGTGGCTGGTGACGCCTCGGGCCCGCCCGCAGGTCCGGCCGCGCGCGCCGCCTCCCTCGCCGCGCCGGCGCCATGTCGCGCTTCTTCACCACCGGCTCCGACAGCGAGTCCGAGTCGTCGCAGTCCGGGGAGGAGCTGGTCACCAAGCCCGTCGGGGGAAACTACGGCAAACAGTGAGTGGGGGGCGCGCGGGCCGGGGGGGGGGCGCCCGCCGGACACCAGCCCCCCCACCCCCGAGTCGGCCGCCTCCTCCCGCCGGGGCCGAGCAGCAGCGCCGGGGTCGAGTTGGGCGTCCGGGGGCGCCTTGGGCACCGGGTGGCCGCTTCCTCCTCTGATGTTTGCCCCGGGAGTGCCCACCCCCTCCGCGGCCCCCGGCCCACGTCTCTGCCAGAGCCCCGCGCTCGGGTCCGGAACGCCTGCAGGGTGGCCCCGACAGCGCGTGGCGAGGGGGCTTCACTCGCACCCCGAGGTGCGCACCCCGAACGCAGCTGGCGGTCGCTCCTGCTCCTGCCTGATCGCACCCTGGGCCTCCTGCCCGCATCATATGCGCGTTGAGGTGTTCCCCACCCCACCCCACCCCCTTCTTATTTTTGTTGCATTTGGGGGCTGCTGCGCTTATAAGTCAAGCACGGCGTCATTGCGGTTTTTTATGTTCCTGCCCCCCCAAGTGGAAGGCCAACGGTGCCTGGTGAAAGTCGAAATCTCTGGGAAGGAAAAATGAAGATGTTTTTGCCGGCGAGCAATATGCTGTCTGTTTTCCTCATCGAAGAGAAATATTGCCAATATCGGGAGAATTGGTGTAGGACTCTGCAACGTAAACACCTTCAGTGCTATTGTGAATGGCAATAAGAAAAACTAGCTAAAGGAGCTGGAGAGATAGTTCAGCCTCTAGGACCGACCTAGAATTTGATTCCAGCACCACATGTGGTCACCTGATCACCACTTCATCTGGCCCCCAAAAACCAAAATAGGAGAAAACACTGTCATTGGTTTGCTGAAACTTTTTATTTTGGGGGAGGGGCACACTACAGGCCAAAAACGCCGGAAAATTCAACGCTAGGCTCCTATTGGTGGCGAGGACCACGCCATTGGAGCTTGGGGGCCACCAGGCCACACTTGGGGATGCTTAGAGGTCATGAGATGCCAGGGATCACTAGGGTCCCACGCACGTGCGCCCCTGGCCCCTGTTCTATCTCCACAGCCTTTGGGGTTTTAATCCAAAAGTTTGCATTGCTTTCCTGTGACCTGGTTCAGGTTTCACTTTGTGGGGGTGGGACTGAGGGCATTTGGGAGCTGAACCAAGGCTTCCTCATGTGCATAGAACGCAGCCCACAGGAGCACTCACAAGTCCTCTTGCGCTTATAATGACTAAAGGGCTCTTCCTGGACTTTTTTCATTGCTTCTTAGTGACTTTATATCATTTTCTGACACTGAGAAGTGCATTTGTTTTTTGAGAACATGGTGATGGTCTTTTGTTGTATATTATACCACTTGTAGGGCTGGAGCGATAGTACAGCGGTAGGGCGTTTGCCTTACAAGCGGCCAACATGGCCGACCCGAGTTTGATTCCTCCGCCCCTCTGGGAGAGCCCGGCAAGCTACCAAGAGTATCTCGCCCGCACGGCAAAGCCTGGCAAGCTCCCCATGACGTATTCGATATGCCAAACACAGTAACAACAAGTCTCATGATGGAGACGTTACTGCACCCGCTCGAGCAAATCGATGAACAGCGGGAGGACCGTGACTGTGACCACTTGTAAAGGCTTACTTGAAGTAGGCCTAAAAGATTGATTAGGGGGGACCATCTAGTACAGGGGTGACGGCGCTAGATTTGTATATGACCGTATACAGTCCCCCGAGCACTGCCAGATGTAGCTCCAAAGCAACAACAGAAGATTGACTCTTGGGGCCAGGGAGACGGCTTACAGGGCTGGAGTATGTGCTCTGCATGCAGGTGCCCTGGGCTTGGTTCTGGCATTATTATGTCCCTTATGAACTGTGAGGTTTGATTCCCCCGGGACAATTTTTTTTTTTTAGATTTTTTTTTAAACGATACTTTTTATTTTTATTTTATTGCTTTTGGGGTCACACCCGGCAGTGCTCAGGGGTTACTCCTGACTCTGCACTCGGGAATCACTCCTGGCGGTGCTTGGAGTGATATGGGATATGATATGGGTGCTTGGATATGGGATATGATATATGATATGGTTGCTTGGAGTGATATCGGATGCCGGGATCGAACCTGGGTCGGCCGCATGCAAGGCAAACTCCCTACCCGCTATACTATTGTTCTGGCCCCAAGGGCATACGGCTCTTGACTTGCATGTGGTCAACCTGGGTGACGTCCCTAGCACCCCATATGGTCCCTTGATCCCTGAGCACTGCTGGGTGGGCCTCCCATTCCCACCGTACCCCACCCCACCCTCCATAAAAAAGGGCCGGTGCCCTATGCACCTACTTCCCTATCTCTCCAGCCCATAAAAATCAAACTTGTGAAGCTTCGAAGAGAAAGAAGCAAGCAGGATAAGTATGGTACAAGGGAACTAGAAACATGAAAAAAAGGACTAGACCCGGGAGGGACCACTAATTGTTTGTATTCCTTCCAATCAGGCCACTGTTGCTGAGTGAGGATGAAGAAGATACCAAGAGAGTTGTTCGAAGTGCCAAGGACAAGAGGTGAGACTTTGGAAAGCCCGGGTGATAGGGATTGGAGTGGTGGCAAGTTTTCTGGTTGATGATGGTGGTATGTGTGTCCTTACTGGATGGATTCGTTCTCCAGGTTTGAGGAGCTGACAAATCTCATCCGGACCATCCGTAATGCCATGAAGATTCGTGATGTCACCAAGTGTCTCGAGGAATTTGAGCTCTTGGGAAAAGCATATGGGAAGGCTAAGAGTATCGTGGATAAGGAAGGCGTCCCTCGGTTCTATATCCGCATCTTGGCTGACCTGGAGGACTACCTCAATGAGGTGAGGAGAGACCTAGAAGGCGATTGTGGCCTTGGATCTTGCTGTTCGCCCACTTCTCGGGATCCTGTGTCTTCTGGGCTATTTGCTACGATGGGGGGGTGAGGGGGGAGGAGAGAGACCTTTTTAACTAAGAATTTTGATTATATCTACTGTGTGTTGTGATTAATAATTTTTAGAAAGATAATACATAGCAGGACTTGTCAAAGTGAAGGGGCCGGAGTGATAGTACAGAGGGTAGGATGTTTGCCTTGAGTGCTGTCAACCCAGGTTCGATCCCCGGCATCCCATATGGTCTACCCGTGCACCTCCAGGAGTGATTCCTGAATGCAGAGTCAGGAATTACCCCTGAGCATTGCCGGGTATGACTCAAAAAGTCAAAAAAATATTACAAAGGAAATAAAACATTTAAAAATATGGTAAGCCTGAAGTTTAAGAAGTACTAGTCTCAGACCTCTGTTTTCCCCTTTGCTTTAGCTGTGGGAGGATAAAGAAGGAAAAAAGAAGATGAACAAGAATAATGCCAAGGCTCTGAGCACCCTTCGTCAGAAGATCCGAAAATACAATCGAGATTTTGAGTCTCATATTACAAATTACAAGCAGGTGGGATGCTAGAGGGAGTGTTTTTCAGCCGTAAAGCTGTGACCCTTGAGACAAATTTAAAAAATAGCAATTTTCAATGGGAAGGGAGGGATGACTGGAGACAAAATAGTAACAAAGGGGTGGGATGCGGAGATTGTCATGCGGCGCTAACTGTTCTCGCTTTCTCTGTCAAGAACCCTGAACAGTCTGCAGATGAAGATGCGGAGAAGAATGAGGAAGATTCTGAAGGTGAGACAGCCCTTTTGCAAGGCAGGAGTTCCTTTCACCTGGTTTCTTGGTTGCACTTTAATTTTTCTGCAATTTTTGTCTCATTTTTTTCCCACCAGGTTCTTCAGATGAGGATGAGGATGAGGATGGAGTCAGTGCTGCAGCTTTCCTGAAAAAGAAATCAGAAGCTCCTTCTGGGGAAAGTCGCAAGTTCCTAAAGAAGATGGAGGTGAGAGTCAAGGGAAGACTAAGGGGTGATTTGCCTGTCCTGGACTTTTCTTGTGTTCCTGGGGAGATGCTTAGTGGCAGAACCAGTTTGGGAACAGACGTCCTTTTGGGTTACATATCTGAGCAACCTGGAATTTCTGGGTCTAGCTTTGAGTATCCTGATTCATGATTACCCACTCCTGGAATTCTCTAGAGCATGGATTAGCAGGGAAAAGGGAGAGGCTCTTCAGGTCTCCCATCTTTCTGCCAATCACCTTTTTTCTTCTAAGGATGAAGATGAGGATTCGGACGATTCAGAGGATGATGAAGATTGGGACACTGGTTCCACATCTTCTGATTCCGACTCGGAAGAGGAAGAAGGGAAACAGACGGTGCTGGCCTCAAGATTCTTGAAAAAGTAAGAAGCCAGTGTCTCGCACACTGAGGAGAATCGGCAGCCGTAGTCATACTGATGGTTACGGCTTCTACCAGGAATCTTCGAGGTTACTAGAACCCAGTCCAGTAGGTGGTGTTTGTTTGACTTCTCACAAAACTCCAGTGTCCTGTGAAAGGGCTTTGAAGGCTCCAGAGCACAAATTTGCCGTGTGGATTGAGTGTCAGTCTCTGCATAACCTTTCTGGTCTTCAGTTTTCTTGTGTGTAGAAAGGATTGCTTCTTGACCCTGCTCCCAAAAGTAGCATCCAAAAATAGGAAATAGAGGGACTCGTCTGAGCTAAGGGACAGGTGCTGTTCTCATCATTCTTCCTCCACGCCTTCAGAGTAGGTATCAGAGACTACCACAAGCCTCTGGAGAGTGTTGCAAAATGACTCCAGAGCGCAAAACATTCTGATTCGGGTTCATGTTCCAGCCACTAGTCTTGTTAGTAGCTGTCATCATTGGGAAAGTTGAGGCTTCCTCTGCCCCTCCTGCCCTGAGCAGGAGTTCTTTTCATTGATATGCAGAGCTCTCGCTGCTGGCAGAGTTGCTGTCCTGCTTTCACGAGTTGGGCTCATGCTGCTTTGGGTGGTTTTGAGTTTCCGGTACTAGAGAAATCTGGACATAGACATTTTCACTAGTTGCTCTGCACTGCACCATTGTCCCATTGTTCAATTTGCTCGAGCGGGCATCAGTAACGTCTCCATTGTGAGACTTGTTATTGTTCTTGGCATATGGAACACACCATGGGGAGCTTGCCAAGCTCTACTGTGCAGGCAGGATACTCTTGGTAGCTTGCCAGGCTCTCCGAGAGGGATGGAGGAATCAAACCCGGGTTGGCCGCATGCAAGGCAAACACCCTACCTGCTGTGCTATCACTCCAGTCCAACTGTTTGCTCTAAGAAACAATATTTTTCGTGAATGTAGACTCAAAAAAAACAATCCTCAACAAAATCTTAGAAAATGAATTCAGTATCAGCACGAAAGTGTAACGTAGTGATTCTTGGCCAGCTGAGTCAGTGGTTGAGTGTGAGGGCCCTGTATCGGGGGGGGGGGGGGGGTGTCAACTAGTGTTGACTGTTCTCAACTCCCATGCTGTCTCTGTGCCCAAAAAAAGCATTTGAACACTAGGGTTTGGGGCTTTTTTCCCTTCCCCTGTGCTGCTCTGTTTCTGGTGCCCTGAGCACTACCATGTGTTGCCCCCAACCCCAGAAAAAGGAGGTGATTTTTAAATTATTATTATTATTAAGATACAGGTATTTGAGTGCCTGTTGAGTCTGGAAAGGTACTTTTTTTCCCAAAAGTTTCAAATGCTTTGTCTGCTTGGTATATAGTTCATATATAAGTATTCAGATCTGAGGAGGTACTTGAATATTAAATGTCTACTTTGAGATAGGGATTTTTTTTTCTTTTTTTTTTTTCATTCTGTGTGTTGGGGGCATTTTATTAAAGTGAACAATTGTGGAGGGTGGGGGGGGCTTTGGGCAGGGGAGTTGAACTCAGGGGCTGGTTTCTCACTCAGCTTGGGGGGGCGCCTTAGGCATTGCTGGGGTTTGACCCAGGGTGGGCAGCTTCCTCCTGTACTACCTCACTGACCTCAATGTGGTTTTGTTTTTGGGTTTTTTTTTTTTTTTTGGGTCACACCCGGCGATGCACAGGGCTTGTTCCTGTCTCATGCACTCAGGAATTACTCCTGGCAGTGCTCGGGGGACCATATGGGATGCTGGGAATCGAGCCCGGGTCGGCTGCATGCAAGGCAAACGCCCTACCCGCTGTGCTATGCTCATTTGTGTTTTACTTTTCCGTGATTGGTAAAATAATTTAGGAATTGATGAAAGAGCAGTGGTATCTAAGACCAGTTGTGCTGCCCATGGATTTTCTAGAAAACTTGAGAGCGATTACCTTGGCAGTCATCTGTTAGGGTCTCTGGAGTAGACCCAAATGAACTGCACCCTCCATAGGTGTTCGTTGGTAAATGTGGCGGTGGTGACAAACCTTGGTGAGCCATTCTGCTATTCCATGGCTCGGTGAGCCTTGCTTTGTTTGTAGCGGTAGCTTACCTCTACCTGGGTCATTCCATTCTACGGGCATTCCATTCGGGTTTTTCTTGAAACCAGCAATTTGATCGGAGAAGAGGAAGCTGCCTCCTCAGAGGTGGTGGGAGGTCGGTCTTTCATCTCCCGTGTCTCCGGGCAGGGCCCCCACCACAGAGGAAGACAAGAAGGCAGCAGAGAAGAAACGTGAGGACAAGGCCAAGAAGAAGCATGACAGGAAATCTAAGCGCCTGGATGAGGAGGAGGAGGACAACGAGGGCGGGGAATGGGAGCGAGTTCGGGGTGGAGTGCCCCTGGTTAAGGTGAGGATTTTAAAGGTAAAATGGGTAGGGAAAGACGGGGCATTTACAGGGACCTTTCTTGTCTGGGTGGGAGCAGAGCTAAGCAAGAGAAGATTCCTGTTGGGCCTCACATAATAGGGTGTGTATTGCCTAGGAGAAGCCGAAAATGTTTGCCAAGGGAACTGAGATCACCCATGCTGTTGTCATCAAGAAACTGAATGAGATCCTGCAGGCTCGAGGCAAGAAGGGAACTGATCGGTAAGATTCATGAGCTTGGTCTCCGGGCTCAGGGTGAAAACCGTTTAGATGGAGGGTGAAGGTTCTTTGAGCAAATAGTGCTGCTCTAGAAGGATCTTTGTGGCCGTAGTGAAGTAACGTGCTGGTTCATTCTCTGCTACTTACTCTTTCTTTGATCTTAAACTGGTTGACTTTGTGGGAATGTTTTCTAATATCTGAAATGGTTACAGTGTTCACTTTTATTCCCTCAACTAAAGAGGGTGGTAGATTGTTCACAGTGGTTCTTTTGTTTTGGAATGTAAAAGGAGAGGTGTATTCTGTAGCAAGGACAGGGCTGTTGGTGGTTGCCGGGAGAGGACTGCCTGAGAGGATGCAGCTCTTGGATTTGCCTCCCGAGCCTCACCCAGTTATGTGCTCCTGCAGCGCAGCGCAGATTGAGTTGCTACAGCTCTTGGTTCAGATTGCTGCTGAAAACAACTTGGGAGAGGGTGTCATCGTGAAGATTAAGTTCAATATCATCGCGTCTCTCTATGATTACAACCCCAACCTGGCCACATACATGAAGGTGAGGATAGCGAAGAACAGCGTCCCGGAGTGGGTGGGAGTCGGGAATGGAAGCAGGTGTGGTAGTTGAAGGTCCTGTGGCAAAGGGCTTTTGAGAGAAGCTGCTTATCCCCCCTTCATACATCTCTCATTGTCGTCTGATCTCTTGGCAGCCGGAGATGTGGCAGAAGTGCCTGGACTGTATCAATGAACTGATGGACATCCTGTTTGCAAACCCCAACATTTTTGTTGGAGAGAACATTTTGGAAGAAAGTGAGAACCTGCAAAATTTTGAGCAGGTAGCGAAGGAACTGGCAATTACTTGGAAGTTACATCGACTCCTGGGGAAGGGTCGGTAGAGATCTGGGCTAATTTACTCCTTCATCTTTTCAGCCACTGCGTGTTCGTGGCTGTATCCTGACTCTGGTGGAACGAATGGATGAAGAATTTACCAAAATAATGCAAAATACTGATCCTCATTCCCAAGGTGAGAGCTTGAGCAACATGGGCATCAAAGAGAAAAATGTAGGAAATCATATCAAGGATTATGCTAAATGAGCCTCTCTGGAAAGGCAGCCTGTTCTTCCTCCAGTAGTCTTAGGGGTCTCTTAAGAGATTGAGCACTGGGGCTGGAGCAATGGCACAGCAGGTAGGGCGTTTGCCTTGCATGTGGCCAACCCACGTTCGATTCCCAGCATCCCATAGTCCCCTGAGCACCACCAGGAGTAATTCCTGAATGCAGAGCCAGGAGTAAATCCTGTGCATCGCCAGGTGTGACCCAAAAAAGAGAAAGAGATTGAGCTTGCATGCAGGAGACTGGAGTATAATCCCCTGCATCATGTGGTCCTCGAAGCAGTCCCTGAGCAATACACCAGGTGTGCCCATGTCCCCTCCCCCTCCCACCAAAGGGAAAAAGGTGTTTCACTCTGACAGCTTAATGCCTTCTGATTCTTGAGACTGGAGAGAGTGCAGTGGGTAAGGCACTTGCCTTGCACGCAGCTGACCCAAGTTTGATCCCCAGCATATCCCATATGGCCCCCCGAGTACCACCAGGAGTAATTCCTGAGTACATAGCTAAAAGTAATGCCTAAGCATCGCCTGTGACCTTAAAAAAAAGCTTCTGATTCAGTAGTCTTCAATGAGATGGGATTTGTGTGGGATTTGATCGCTGACATGTTCTCAAATAATGCTGCTGATTAATCTGGGGATTCTGTTGAGAGTCATTCATAGATAGCTTCTGTTGACTTGTCCAGTTTATCATGAATCATGGGCATTGGGATGAGGAAAATAAGAATGATTACTGAAAGGTGAGCATGTTGGGCCTGGACAGATAGTACAGTGAGAAGGGTGCTTACGTAGCACGTGACTGACCTGGGTTTCATCCCTGGCACCTCACATGGTCCCCTGAGTACCAGGAGTAAGCCCTTGGCACTGCTGGATGTGGCCCCAAAACCAAAATAAATAGATAAAACGTAAGGGTGTAGCGATGAGCAAGACAGTGACCTCCGTGGGCTCATGGAACTTAACAGTGCTGGGAAAAGGTAGATGGTTTTGTTTGTTTGCAGGCCAAAGCCTGCCATATATAGGCCTATTCCTGGCTCTGTGCTCAGGAACCGTTCCCGGCAGGGCTCGGGACCATCTGGGAATCAAACCCAGTCAGCCGTGTGCACGGCGGAGGTTCTACACACCACACTGCCTCTCTAGCCCCTGCAGAAAGGTAGTGTGGTTTGTTTTGGGATGAGAAGGGGGCACATCAAACAGTGCTCAGGGCTTACTCGTGAGTCTGCATTAAGGGATCACTACTGCTGGGGCTTGGGACTATATGGGGTGTTTACCTAAGTAAATAAAAGAGAAGGTCTCAGGTGTAAATAGAAATTCATTTACATACTTGTGATGAAAAGGGACTGGAATGGTGACCTTTTTTTTTTTTTTAATTAGTGAGATACAGTTACAAAGTTGGTCATGTTTGGGTTTCAGTCATAATGTTCCAACACCAACACCTGTCCCTTCACCAGTGTACATTTCCCACCACCAATGTCCCCAGTTTCTCTCCTCCCCCCCCCACCTCTATAGCAGGCATCACATCCCCCCCCTTGGGGGCATTATGGTTTGCAGTACAGATTCTGAAAGGTTACCGTGTGTAGAATAGTGACTTTCAGATAGTAGTTGAAGAAAGCATTTTAGTATTGGCCAGTTGAGGTGAAATCAAAGTGATGAGTTTAGTTCTTGCGTGGGATGAGACTTTCTGGTTGGTGCACAAAACACACAGTGGTAATTGGGTTGATGGGAAGAACTGGGCCCCCGACTGAGGTGAGGGTGGATGCTTTCCTGACAGAGTACGTGGAGCACCTGAAGGACGAGGCTCAAGTGTGTGCCATCATTGAGCGCGTGCAGCGCTATCTGGAGGAGAAGGGCACCACCGAGGAGATCTGCCGCGTCTACCTGAGGCGCATCCTCCACACCTACTACAAGTTTGACTACAAGGCCCACCAGCGGCAGCTCACCCCACCTGAAGGCTCTTCAAAGGTGAGTGCGTGCCTGGTAGCCGTCAGAGGGGAGAGAGATGTCTGTCAGTCTGCTCCATGTGTCTGCTGAGATTTCTTGGCAAATCTACTTCCTGGGTCTGCTGAGGTGGAACAGGGAGGAAAAGTTAAGGAGACTGCAACAAGGCTGGGTGTAATCCTACCTTTGGCTGCTGAAACCGGAGCCATTTAGTTACTCTTTGGTGGATTTCCTTTAGCTTCATTCTCTTAACACCTTCCCTTTCCCAGTCTGAGCAAGACCAAGCGGAAAATGAAGGTGAGGACTCGGCCGTGCTGATGGAGAGACTGTGCAAGTATATCTATGCCAAGGACCGCACGGACCGTATCCGCACATGCGCCATCCTCTGCCACATCTACCATCATGCGTTACACTCCCGCTGGTATCAGGCTCGCGACCTCATGCTCATGAGCCACCTGCAGGACAACATTCAGCACGCTGACCCGCCAGTACAGGTAGGAGAGGCGGGTAGATGACCAATTGGAGGGCCAGACCCCCTCTTCTGTGTTTGGGTAAAGTGGCTAAACCAGATTCACCACCTCTGTGGCTAGTGCAGATGAAGGACACTTAGTCTTGGCCAAATGACAGCATTCTCACACCTAGCCGTGCTCAGGGATCACTCCTAGCAGGCCTCAGGGACCTCATGAGGGGTCAGGGACAGCACATACAAGACAAGCACCCTTCCCACTCTGCTGTCTCTCCGGCCCCCCCAAATGACAGCATTCAATTCCTTTTGCATATTAACATGTTTTGTACTCCTCTCACAACACAAGCATTCTTGAGAATAGAGATTTGGGTTCCGTTAACATACCATACGCGTTGTCTGGTTTGGAACATTGGATGATCTTTTTAAGAGTGAGGAAAAAGGACCTTTTAAGAAGCTGTTAGGGCCAGAGCTAACGAACAGCGGGTAAAGCACTGACCTTGCACGCGATCAACCCAGGTTGATCCCCAGCACTTCATATGGTCCCCCAAGCATTGCCAGGAGAGATTCCTGAGTGTAAAGCCAGGAGTAACACCTGAGCATTGCTGGGCATGGCCCAAAACCAAAACAAAAAGGTTTGTTAAAGTGGAACCAAAATGTTAGTACACTGGGTAAGGCGTTTGCCTTGCACACATCTCACCAGGCTTGATCCAGCACTCCACATGGTCCACAGCCCCGCCAGGCGTCATCTGAGAGTACCGCTAGATGTAGCCTCAAAATTAAACCCAAAAAAGTTGTTAAGCCTAAAGGACAGACAGGAACCAAATGCTTTGTGATACGTGGGGGAACGCATAGTGGAACTGCTTTTGTGTGTGACACAACTGTGAGGATATTTTTTTACTTACTTTGGAGGCCACACCCGTTGGTACACTGTAGGTCATGCAGTGCTAGGAATCAAACCCAGAGCCCCCACATAGCGTGTGCTCGAGTGTGTTACCCCTCCAGCCCAGCCCTAGGAAGGTGTAGATAGACAGTTTAAATATAAGAATTTTTTTTATTAATTTTTCTTTTTTTATTAGTGAAACACCATGAGGTACAGTAGTAGATTTACAATTTTTTGTGCTTGGGTTTGATTATACAATGATCAGATACCCATCCCTCCACCAGTGCCCATTTTCCACCACCATGGATAATATTCCCCCCACCCCCATCCCCCCATCCCCCCCTGTCTCTGTGGCAGGGCAATCCCCTGTGTTCTCTCTCTCCTTTTGGGTGTTGTGGTCTGCAAAAGAGGCAGTGAGTGGCAAACATGTTCAGTCCATAGTCTACTTTCGACATGCATCTCCCCTCCTGGGAGGATCCTCCAAACACCCTTTATTTGGTGTTCCCTTCTCTATCTGAGCTGCCCTTTCCTCTAGAATGCCCGACTGGCCACTAAGCTATGGAGTAATCCTCCTGGTGCTGATCTCATAAATATAAGAATTTTTGAACTCTGTCTAAGCACAGATCCTGTCAGTGTGTTTAAAAATTAATATTTACAATGGGAAAGAGACTTTACAGGCTGGAGCTGATGATCCTTTGTATGTAGGAGTTCAGTGCTCATCACCATAGAGTCCCTTGAGCGCTTCCAAGTGTACAAGTGTAGCCCCTGAGCACCACTGGACCCTGGATGGGACCCAAAATCTAGGTGGTATGTAGGTAGTTGGGCTGGAACGATAGCACAGCAGGTAGGGCGTTTTGGCCGACCCCAGTTCGATTCCTCTGCCCTTCTCGGAGAGCCTGGCAAGCTACCCTTGATGTATTCGATATACCAAACACAGTAACAAGTGTCACAATGGAGACGTTACTGGGCCCGCTCAAGCAAATCGATGAACAACGGGAGGACAGTGACAGTGACAGGTAGGTAGTTATGTATAGGATATTTGAAACCCAGGGATTTTTAAGTAGCTCTTTTTATTTTATTTTGCAAATATATCGTAGATTCTTCTTGATCTGGGTCCCCCCCCCCCCTTGGAAGGATACTTCATCTATTTTTAGTCTTAGTATTATCAATCTCGGCAAGCTACCGAGACTATCTCGCCTGCACGGCAGAGCCTGGCAAGCTACCCGTGATGTATTCAATATGCCAAAACACAGTAATAACAAAGTCTCCAATGGAGATGTTACTGGGCCCGCTCGAGCAAATCGATGAACAACAGGAGGACTGTGACAGTGACAGTATTATCAATGAAGCTGTTATGTTATGAACACTTCCGTATCACTTTCCATGTGGCTGTTTTAGCTTTGGAGAGTAGGAATTTGGGACACACCCGACTGTGCCTTGGGTTTTTCTTGGCTCTGCACTCAGGAATTACTCTCGGCAGTGGTCAGGGGATCATACGGGATGTCGGGATCAAACCTGGATTGGCAAGGCAAGCGCCCTATGAAGACCCCTTGACTTCAGAATACTGTTGGTGGTAGTGCTTCCGGCATGTAGGCCCACTGCCAGATGGCATCCCTCCACCAGCATTCCTCCACCAGTGTCTTTAGCTCCTCCAGTATACCCCGTGCAGACAAACTCATTGCTTCTCTAGGCTCTCAGGGTCTGTTAATCAATAACCCGTTTTTCTTCCCTATTTTTTTTTTTTAAATAATACATGTAAGAGGGGCTGGAGCGATAGCACAGCAGGTAGGACGTTTGCCTTGCACGCGGCCAACCCAATTGACCCGAGTTTGACTCCTCCGCCCCTCTTGGAGAGCCCAGCAAGCTACCGAGAGTATTCCACCCGCACAGCAAAGCCTGGCAAGCTACCTGTGATGTATTCAATGTGCCAAACACAGTAACAAATCTCACAGTGGAGACGTTACTGGGCCTGCTCGAGCAAATCAATGAACAGTAGGAGGACAGTGCTACATGTAAGAACGCATTTGATACTTGTCCTCCCTTTTACTTTGCTCAGGAATTATTCCTGACAAGTAATTACCCCCTGGCGGTGCATGGGGGACCATATGGGATGCTGGGAATTGAACCTGGGTCAGCTGTGTGCAAGGCAAACACCCTACCCGCTGTGCTCCAGACCCTTGAAGAGAATTTTTAACTGATTGGCTATCTGTATGTCATTTTTGGAAAAAGTTATTTGTTCATTCTTGTGTTCTTTTAAAAATTTTGTGAATATCTTGGATATGAAGGGCCAGGGATTAAGGTGTGGGCCTTGCATTTGGGGTGTGATTTAAGACTTTTTCTCTGCGGTCTCCAGCGCCACATATGATCTACCACCAGAGGGCACTCCTGAGCAAAGAACCTGAAATGCCCTTAGTTCTGCCCTGGCCCTTCGAAAAAGATCTTTGTCGCAAGTGTGTTGAGGTGGGCTAGAGAGATTGTACAGTGGTGAGGCATTTGCCTTATAGGTGACCCAGGTTCTATTCTCAGCACCTCGTTTAGTCCCCTGAGTCCTGCCAGGCCTGAATCCTGAGTGCAGAATCGGGATTATGCCCTGAGCACAGCCGGGTGTGACCCAATACCCCAAAGTAAAATAGAAGTCTGGGGGCTGGAGTAATGGCACGGTGGGTAGGGCGTTTGCCTTGCACACAGCCGGCCTGGGTTCGATTCCCAATATCCCATATGGTCCCTTGAGCAGTGCCAGGGGTAATTCCTGAGTGTAGAGCCAGGAGTAACCCTTGTGCATCGCTGGGTGTTACCCAAAAAGGGGGGGGGGGGGAGTCTGGTGAGCAATTATCTTTGCTCATTCGATGGCATGTCTATTCTAGTCGTATCTTCCACAGTGTAGAAGCTTCTAGTTTGACTTATTTATCTTTTGCTTCTGTTTTCTTTGTTAGTGTCATCCAGTCATTAAAAATATTCTGGATACAGTAGCATAGACAGTGCATTTTTTTTTTTTTTTTTTGGTTTTTGGACTGTACCTGGTGGGCTTGGCACCACATGGATGGAGGGATCAAACCTGGGTTGGACGTGTGCATGGCACGAGCTTGTACCAAGAGTTCAGCCCCAAGAGTTCTACTGTGTTTTCCTTGGTTTACTTTATAGGCTTCGAGTCTGATAGTGATGTCTTCACTTAGTTTTGAATTGACTTGTGTATGGTATGATATTGGAATCGAGGTCCTTTTACATGAGGTTAACAAGTTTTCCACCACCATTTGTGAAAGAGGCTTTCCTGAATCCCTTTCACATTTCCAGCTCCTTTGCTTACGTAGATGAGGGTCTGTATAGAGGGTGTAGACTCTCAGTTCTGCACCATTGGTCTCCTGGTTATTTCAGTTCCACACAATTTTTATTACATTCTGTTTAACTACATATAATTAATGTACATTTTGTTTATGTGTACTGTGTATAGTTCATCGATATGTATTGATACATCGTACTTGATTACTTAAGATTTTGTTGTGTTGTTTTGCGGCCATACCAGTGATGCTCAGGGGTCAGTCTTTGTATGCTCAAGGGACCTTGTGCTCAAGGGTGCTGGGGATAGAACCTGGGTCAACCACATGCATGGCACCCTACTCAATAATGCTGATTTGATTATATTCACATTTCCAGAGAGGGAAAAAATTTAGTATTCTTTTTTCTGGGTCTGTTTTTCGCCTAAGAGATTTTTACTCATGTAAGACTATAAGAATAGGGGCCAGAAAGATAGTACAGCAGGTAAGGCACTTGCCTGGCACACACCTGACCCAGGTTCAATCCCCCGCATCTGTGGTCCCCAGAGCACCACCAAGAGAGATCCCTTTAACTCCTTAGCATCGCCAGACGTGACCCCAAAACCAAAAAAAGAATATAGGAATAGGGATGGAGTAATATTAGTACAGTGGGTAAGGCATTTGTCTTGCGTATGGCCGACCTGGGTTTGATTCCCCTGACCACAGAGCCAGGAGTAAGGTCTAAGTAGAGCTGGATGTGGCCCTCCCCCACAAAAAAGAAAATGTAAGAAAGCTTTATAAAGAATATAGGGACGGGGGCTGGAGCGATGGCACAGTGGGTAGGTCATTTGCCTTGCACACAGCCGGCCCAGGTTCGATTCCCAGCATCCTATATGGTCCCCTGAGCACCGCCAGGAGTAACTCCTGTGCATTGCTGGGTGTGACCCAAAAAGAAAAAAAATATATAGGGATGCCAGAGTGATAGTAAAATAGGTAAGGTCCTTGCCCAGGTTCAGTCCCTAGCATTCCCAGAGCATTAGTTTTGGGTGTGGCCCCAAAACTAATAGGAATGCATAAGTATATAAAATAGGTGGTGTACAAATCAAACATTGGCTGAGAGTAAGTCATGAAGAAATTTCAGGGGTCTGGAGAGAAGTATAGGAGTTGTTAAGTGCTACCTTGCATACAGCTGAGCCAGGTGTGTTGTGTCGCCGAAGCACCAACAGATCTTGCACCTCCACCGCTGGATGTGGCCCATTCCACCCTCAATTCTGGTATATAACTTTGGAAGGGGTCACAGCCTCGTAGTTTCAGCCGCTAGAACATTTGCCCTAGAATATAAGTTCCATGAGGGTAAGGAGCTTGCCTTTTTTTATTCTCTTTCTCAAGGCATACTTGGACTTGGGCTTTTTAATATTTGGGGTGAGGGGGTGCTTAGAGCTTACTCCTGATTCTGTACTCAGAAATCATTCCTGGTGGTGTTTGGGGGGATCAAATGGGATGAACATAGAACCAGGTGCAAGGCAGACATCTTACACACCCCCCTCCCCCCCGTACTATGTCTGTGGCCCCATACATAGGATTTAGAACATAAGTGTTGGGTCGGTGAGGAGCTTGCTTTGTGGCTGTCATCTCTGAGGATACTCCCTTTGCTCCCAGATCCTGTATAACCGCACCATGGTGCAGCTGGGCATCTGCGCTTTCCGCCAAGGCTTGACGAAGGATGCACACAATGCCCTGCTGGATATCCAGTCGAGCGGCCGGGCCAAGGAGCTCCTGGGCCAGGGTCTGCTGCTGCGCAGCCTGCAGGAGCGAAACCAGGAGCAAGAGAAGGTGGAACGGCGCCGACAGGTCCCTTTCCACCTGCACATCAACCTGGAGTTGCTGGAATGTGTTTACCTGGTGTCCGCCATGCTCCTGGAGATCCCCTACATGGCTGCACATGAGAGTGACGCACGCCGGCGCATGATCAGCAAGCAGTTCCATCACCAGCTGCGGGTTGGTGAGCGCCAGCCCTTGCTGGGTAAGTGTGAGACTGCGGCAGCAAGCTGGTCTGTCTGTTCCTTGAGGTTAGCAGAAGGGGAAGAGAAGCGTTTGGGGAGATGGCTCAGAGGGCTAGAGCTTTGCATGGAGGAAGTCCCAGCCTTGTTTTCCAGAAGATCCTCTGAGCACCATACCGGGAGTGCCACCCATGTCTCTGTGTGTGTGTGTGTGTGTGTGTGTGTGTGTGTGTTCTGTCCCCATTCCATCCTGTATCTCACATAGAGAAAGAAAAAGTAAAGGGGGATTTTTTTTTTGTCTTAATGACATCTTAATGTATAAATAAAAAGCACCTGTTTTATTTCGCATTCTTTCCAGTCTTTCCCTTGGGACAGGTGGCTGTTAGGTGAGGAATAGGGAGAATTCCCAGTTTGGTTGTTCTTTTTGACCAGACTGATGCTGCCTTTCAGGTCCCCCTGAGTCAATGAGGGAACATGTGGTTGCTGCTTCCAAGGCTATGAAGATGGGTGACTGGAAGACCTGCCATAGCTTCATCATCAATGAAAAGATGAATGGCAAGGTGTGGGACCTCTTCCCTGAGGCTGACAAAGTCCGGACGATGCTGGTTCGGTGAGCAGAGAGAAAGACCTCGGTAGGGAAGAGAACAGGCAAGTTGATTTCTTTCCCTGACGTTTCCTCCCTTCTCTTAATAGGAAGATCCAGGAGGAGTCCTTGCGAACATACCTCTTCACATACAGTAGCGTCTACGACTCCATCAGGTAGGGTGGGCCCTGAAGAGGCAGCGGGACCCCAGCTTTCTGATCAAAGGTCCTCACTGCCTGTTTCCTGCCTTCTTTGTCCCCAGCATGGAGACTCTGTCTGACATGTTTGAGCTGGACCTGCCCACTGTGCATTCTATCATCAGCAAGATGATCATTAACGAGGAGTTGATGGTAAGGTCCAGGGGTGGCAGATGAATGGAGTGAATCACGGAAGGCATGGAGCGATCTGTATTGTGTCCCTTCACCTGTCTTTCTCCAGGCCTCCCTGGACCAGCCCACACAGACAGTGGTGATGCACCGCACGGAGCCCACTGCCCAACAGAACCTGGCTCTGCAGCTGGCCGAGAAGCTGGGCATCCTGGTGGAGAATAACGAGCGGGTGTTTGACCACAAGCAGGGGACCTACGGTGGCTACTTCCGCGGTGAGTGGTTCCATCCCCTCTGCTCTCCCAGGTCCTCTCCCTCAGGCTGCCTCCCCCCGGGCGTTCATGCCTTCCCTTTCTTCTCTCCTACAGATCAGAAAGATGGCTACCGCAAAAATGAGGGCTACATGCGCCGGGGTGGCTATCGCCAGCAGCAGTCTCAGGCGGCCTACTGATTGCGCCACTTGTCTCCACGGCCAGCCACTCCGCCTTTTAAGTTCTAAACCACACCCCAGTCATTAAAGGTCTATTAAGAGTTTTTACTGTACCTGCTTGTTTGCAAGTTATCAGAGTGTGTGTTGGACACAATTCGTTTGCTAATTATATTTCTGAGCTTCTATGATATACCACAAGTACAAGGCTCAGGCTGCAGAGATGATGGATCTTGATTTCCTGATTTCGAAGGGTTTGCTGCTGTTTGACATTTAACAGAATTGTGTGATGTTAAAACAGATATGAAAAAGGGGTGGTGGGTATATTAAGTAGAACATAACAATGCGTCATAAACGCCAGGGAAAGTGGAATGGAATGTCGTGATGGTTTGATTCTGCAGTAGGTGGTTCACCAGAATATCATGACATTTAAGCACATAATCAGTTTTCCTGATTACTCTGTGTGTGTGTGTGTGTTAGAATGCTTACCTTGCATGAGGCCCTCGTTTTAATCCCCTGTATCATTGCCTCCTCCCCCAGTCAAAAAATCTTGATACATTGGATTTTTTTTTTTTTGTTAATGATCTGGCACCATGCTTAAGAGGCAGCACAGTTGTAACAGTTGGAGAAGTAGCAGTATGATCAGTATGATATTTGGGCCCTCTTTTGAAGATTTTACATGTTTTGGATTTTGATAAGAAAAATACACTAATGGATCTGCTTTTTAAGGTCAAAGAAATAGTACAGGGCTTAAGGGTCTTCCTTGCATGTGACCAACTCTGGTTCAGTTCTGTTCTTGCCCTGCTTGGTCCTCTGAGCAAACACCCTCCCCTCCCCTCCCAAATCAATGTAGTGGCAGCTGAAGGATGACTACACTGCTCCCTTCCCCTTGAGCCCCCAAGTACCACTGAGAGGCCTCTGAGCACACTAGGTGTAGAAACACCTCCCCCCGCCCCCCCCCCCCAAAAAAAAAAGCAGTAATGCAGTTAGGGCTCTTTTCAGTGCCAGCCCCACATACAGTTCTCTGAGCACAGAGCCTGGAGTAAGCCCTGAGCACAGGTGTGGCCCAGGGCTGTAACTCAGCAGTAGAACACTTACCTCTACAGAGCCACGCAGGAAGCTCCAGGAGCCCATGCGGTTAGGATCTGAGGCAGGGAGTTTGTGAGGAAGGGCGCGGCTTTTGGAACCAGTTGGCCTTCCCGACAGTACGAATTAGGAATTCGGAATGACAGGTTCTGGCGCTGGGCTGGCTTGTATGAGGGCCTGGGTTCAATTTCTGGCACCATAAAAAAGATAGGTACTGGCTAGGGATAAATAAATAATAGGGTTGTGAATCAAATACCTGGGGTGTTTGTGTTCATGAGTACAGAATCAGGGTTTGGGGTAGTACAGCAGTTAGGGTGCGTGCAGTAGCCGAGGCTCAGACCCCAGCACCACATGGCATCACTCGGTATTGCCTGGAGGCTGCCAGGTATGTCCCTGGGAGAAACCAGGAGCACTGCGTCATCCGACCCTATTGCTGAGTTGCTTGCATGGCCAGGACTGTCCCTGGGGCCTCTTGAACACTGCTTGAGAGGCCCCCCACCCAAAAAGGGAAAAAACCTCATACAGTAGACTGGTAATGAAGTTGGTTGGGCCCCAGATAAAGCGCTTCCTTACACACAGCACCCGTCTGCTCCCAGGGCCTTCCAGACGTGACCTCTGAGTGCAGCCAGGTGTGGCCTGAACACCCCTAAAATCATAACGAAATAATTATTTTCAGGTGCCTTTGGAGCAGCTGGAGTTCAAACTTCGGGTGCATATTCATTAAAAGTAGATTTCTAGGGGAGGTGCTGGAGTGGTTCTCGGAAGGCCAGTGAGGTTTGGAGCACTGCTACAGAGGCAGGAGGAGGGCCAGAGAGCAGTAGGCAAGGCACTTCCCTTGCACACGGCCGACTTGGGTTCATTCCTGGCACCCCTGAGCACTGCTGGGTACGACCCAAAAGTAGGTTGACATTTACCAGTTAGCATTATTGACTGCTGACATCCTGGTTGCTTTACATGCCTTGTTTCACTGAATCTTGTTACAGTAACCCTACTTTCTTCATTTTTAAGGGGGGAGACTGAGTCCTAAAGACTTAAGTAATTTGCCGAGAGTCAGAAAAGCAGGAAGTATGTTCCAAGGTACCCTGAGTCTGCTAGGTGTTGTGTGCTGGTGCTAATGACAGTCCTGGAGTGGGCACCTACGGAGACTACAGGCTAACCTCCGCGTAGATTCCAAATCTTGGCTATGGTACTGAGTGCTGCTACATTCTTTTGAATGAATGTCAAAAACACCAATTTTTTTTCCTAATTTATTTTTTTTACAGCGGTGGGGCGTTTGCCTTGCACGCAGCCAACATGGCCGACCTGAGTTCGATTCCTCCGCCCCTCTCGGAGAGCCCGGCAAGCTACCGAGAGTATCCGATATGCCTGACACAGTAACAACAAAGTCTCCAATGGAGACGTTACTGGGCCCGCTCGAGCAAATCGATGATCAACAGGAGGGCCTTTTACTTTACTTTTACTTTTAATTTTTATTAGTGAAACACCATGAGGTACAGTTGTAGACTTACAAATTTTTGTGCTTAGGTTTCAGTTATGCAGTGATTGAGTACCCATCCTTCCATCAGTGCCCATTCTCCACCACCACTGGTCCCAGTATCCCTCCCACCCCCCCATCTCCCCCATCCACCCTGCCTCAGTGGCAGAGCATTCCCTTTTGTTCTCTCTCCCCTTCTGGAAAAACACCAAATTTTTTAAAAATTACTTTTCTTGGGTTGGGGAGAGTACAGCGGCCAGTGCAAAGCACCATGCATGCAGCCTACCTGGGTTTGATTCCCCAGCACCACATGTTGTTCCTGAGCCCCTCAGGAGTGCTCTTCAAGTGCCATCCCTGAATGTAGCTAGTGTGACCCAAAAACAAAATAATATTTTTGTTATAGGGGTCACACCCACTAATGCTAGCAGGTACAGGGGGCTCCCTGAGGATATTCCCTACAGAGCTGGACCTGTTGAGGGCTGGTGGTGTTGGGTCCAATAGGGTGATACCTGGCAGCCCACCCAGCCGTGCTTGGTAGGGACACTGGGCCTACACCCTACATTGCTGTACCATTGGAGGGGGGGGTCACCAGCACTGTACCTGGTAGTGTTGGGGGCGGCAGGGACGGTACACAGTCCCAGGGATCCAATGAAGATCCTTTTCTATGTGAGGCATGTGCTGTACCATTTGAACCCAAGCTCAAAACCTGGGTTTAGCGATGCAGAAGACAGGCTGGGAACTGGAGAACATGGTCAAAGATTTCCCCCTCCTCCCCTCCTGACCTTTCTCTGGAGGGCAGGCAAAGTGCAAGCCTGTGGCACTCCCGACAAAGGCATCCAGGAAAAGAGACCAGTGGCCTGAAGAAGGGAATAACGATTTATTTTCCTTGTTTGGGTCCTGTCACTTCGGAAGAGGTCATTTGTGGTTTTGTCCGTTCTGGTTTTGAGTCACACTGGTGGCGCTCAGGGCTTACTCCTGTATCTGGGGACTGGAATGGTAGTACAGTGGGGAGGGCACTTACTTGCCTTACAAGCAGAGAACCATTTTCAATCCCCGGCATCCCAGATGGTCTCCCAAGCCCACCAGGAGGGATTCCTGAGTGCAGAGCCAGGAGTAATCTGAGCACTGCTGGGTGTGGCTCCTGAACAAAAAACAAACAAACTGCACTCAGGTCACCCCTGGCAGGATTTAGAGGCTCATATATGCTGCTGGGACCCAAACCTGGCTTGCGGCTTGCAAGGCAGATTCCCCACCACTGTACTATCCAGCCCTGGAAATCTGTGTTTTTACCGCTGACTGCTGTTTCTGATCCTGGAGGTGTGCACAGCCAGCCATGTTTGCAGATCAAAAGACAAAGATAGGTAAGACTGTTGCAGGTGACTTACGTGAAGTGGGGGGAGAAGAGGCAACTCCGGCTTCTGTCTCCCCACCTCATTCATCAGGGGAAGTGCCTGAGAAATAGGGAACTAATGAAAGTCTGTGATGACCTCCTGCCCGGTACAGGCCTCACAGCTGACCAGCCCAGGAGGTGACCATCCAGCTGCACTGCTCTGCACAGCGTGGGAGACGATCCCCTCCCCTGGTTTCTCAAGGGGCTGTGGGCTCATGCTAGAGTGAGGAACTGCTCTTTGCAGGAAAGGAAAGTTTGTCTTAAATCTTAACCAGGCTTCGGGCCTGGTTAAGCAGCTAAGGTGCTTTTTTTGCATGTGGCCAACCCAGGTTGGATCCCCAGCATCCCACATCCTTGACATCCTGAGCACTGCCAGGATGTTCTGAGCTCAGAGCCAGGGGTAAACCCTAAGCATCGAACCACCACCCCCCAAAAAAAATCATAGCTGGGCTGGAGTGATAGGTCAGCGGGGAGGGCATTTGCCTTGCACACGACCAACCCGGGTTTGATTCCCAGCATCCCATATGGTTCCCCGAGCACTGCCAGGAGTAATTCCTGAGTGCAAAGCCAGAAGTGACCCCTGTGAATCACTGGGTGTGACTCAAAAAGCCAAAAAAAAAAAAGTAGTAAATCTTTTCACGCCCATCTCCTTACCCTCACACAAAAGAATTTCAGAAGTAAACAAATAGTGAAGTAAAACAGAAGGCAGTGTTCAGGAGAGAATGTGGGCTTCTCCAGAGGTGTAGAGAGCTGAGAGTAAACGTCTCAGATGGAGATGCAGGCTGGCCCACAATAAGGAGACACCCTGCTTGCCTTGGTAATGTTAGTTTTATAGGTTTTCTCCCAAGCTGCCCCATGGGGCTTTCTACCTAGATAAAAATCTGTGGCTATGCCGATGTTAAGAGAAAGGCTTGAAAATTTTGGTGTCCACCTTCATGTCCTTATCACAACCCTTTTTTCCTGCTGGAGCTTCTCAGGAAGGGGATCCAGCCTCCTCCGGGCCTGTGCAGACACAAGTTAGAATCTTATCAGGCCTCAGTTCACAGAGTGGTTATGGTCATAATGCTTTTAGCTGCTTTAGGGCTAGTGACAGAGTGACAACTTCAAATGCCATCTTAGTTTTATTATGTCCCAAGAACTCCTTGGCAGCACTCCCATCTACCTGC